TAGTAACTGACCATACGGTCATCAGACTGTTCTAGTAACTGACCATATGGTCATCAGACTGTTCTAGTAACTGACCATACAGTCATCAGACTGTTCTAGTAACTGACCATATGGTCATCAGACTGTTCTAGTAACTGACCATACGGTCATCAGACTGTTCTAGTAACTGACCATATGGTCATCAGACTGTTCTAGTAACTGACCATACAGTCATCAGACTGTTCTAGTAACTGACCATATGGTCATCAGACTGTTCTAGTAACTGACCATACGGTCATCAGACTGTTCTAGTAACTGACCATATGGTCATCAGACTGTTCTAGTAACTGACCATACAGTCATCAGACTGTTCTAGTAACTGACCATATGGTCATCAGACTGTTCTAGTAACTGACCATACAGTCATCAGACTGTTCTAGTAACTGACCATATGGTCATCAGACTGTTCTAGTAACTGACCATACAGTCATCAGACTGTTCTAGTAACTGACCATATGGTCATCAGACTGTTCTAGTAACTGACCATACAGTCATCAGACTGTTCTAGTAACTGACCATATGGTCATCAGACTGTTCTAGTAACTGACCATACAGTCATCAGACTGTTCTAGTAACTGACCATATGGTCATCAGACTGTTCTAGTAACTGACCATACGGTCATCAGACTGTTCTAGTAACTGACCATACGGTCATCAGACTGTTCTAGTAACTGACCATATGGTCATCAGACTGTTCTAGTAACTGACCATACGGTCATCAGACTGTTCTAGTAACTGACCATACGGTCATCAGACTGTTCTAGTAACTGACCGTATGGTCATCAGACTGTTCTAGTAACTGACCAAGAGGTCACCAGACTGTCCTAGATACTGACCAAGAGCTCATCAGCCTAGTCTAACTGACCAAGAGCTCATCAGACTTGTCTAACTGACCAAGAGATTATTAAAAGGAACAAGAGGTCCAAAGGGCCTGTATGACTCACCTGAATATCTAAGCAATCATGGCAAAATATTCTCCAAATGAGATCCAAGGAAATATGCCAGACCCCAAGGCCAATCCTTATAGCATATCTGTATTAGATTTTTCATGCCCAGCAATTTTATGTATGGTTATGGGGTGGGGATCTCACCTGTTTCCAAGCAGTGACTCAGAAACTAGGACCCTAGGGTTGTGGCCAGACCCCAGGATCAATTCTTATATCATGACTGCATTTGTCTCTTTTTGCCTAGCATTTGTATATATAGTTTTGGGGTGGGGATCTTAACCATTTCGAAGTTATGACCCAGGGGTTAAATCTCCAAGGATGGGGCAGTCCCCAAGGCCATCCTGGAAGAATATGTGCATTCTCTCTTTATACTCAGCAATTGTATATATGGTTATAGGGTGGGGATCTCAACTATTTCCAAGCTGTGACTAAGAAAATAGGTCCCTAGGGGTTTGGTCAGACCCCAGGGTCTATTCTAATATAATGACTGCATTCGTCTCTTTATGCCCAGCATTTGTATATATAGTTTTGGGTTGGGGATCTCAACCGTTTTAAAGTTATGGCCTAGGGACTATGTCTCCAAGGGTGGGGCCAGACCCTAGGGCCATCCTGGAAGCAAATGTGCATTCTTCTCTTTATACTCAGCAATTGTATATATAGTTATATGGTGGGGATCTCAACCATTTCCAAGTAATAAAACTTATTTTGGCCCCACCCCTTAGCCTGGGGGGGTCAGCCCCACCATTTGTACAATTTTGAATCCCTGCCTCCAAAGAATGCTTCTGACCAAATATGATCGATATCCATGGCACAGTTCTACAGAAGAAGTCGTTTATAGCAATATAGCCAAATAACCCTTTTTGACCCCGCCCCTCAGCTACCTGGGGGGTCAGCCACACCATTTGTACACTTTTGAATCTCTACCACCTAGGGATGCTTCCAGTTAAATATGGTTGATATCCATCTCTTGGTTCCAGAGAAGAAGTCGCTTAAAGCAATATAGCCAAATTGCCCTCTTTTTGCCCCGCCCCTCAGCCCCCTGGGGGGTCAGCCTCACCATTTGTACAATTTTGAATCCCCACCACCTAGGGATGCTTCCAGTCAAATATGGTTGATATCCATCTCTTAGTTCCAGAGGAGAAGTCGCTTAAAGCAATATAGCCAAATTGCCCCCTTTTTGCCCCGCCCCTCAGACCCCTGGGGGGTCAGCCCTACCATTTGTACAATTTTGAATCCCTGCCACCTAGAGATGCTTCCAGTCAAATTTAGTTAAATTCCAATCAGTGGTTAAGAAGAATAAGTCGTTTAAAGAAATTGTTGACGGACGGACGACGGACGCCACGGTATGGCATAAGCTAACCTTGGTTCTTCGGACCAGGTGAGCTAATAAATGATACTCAGTCAACACCAAACTAATGTTTTGGTAATTTGTACTTGTGCCTACATGATTAGGCCTGTTCTGTGGGCCGTCAGGAGAAAATGACAGTGTAGCCGGCAAGGCCTAATGTGAGAAACTGTGGTACAAATATATTGTAATGGATGGACATTAAGGTTAGATTACACTGTGATGTCACACTAACTTTGAAGCTACTTCTGATGCTATTGATAGTCAACCATTGTTGTGGGTGGAAAATCCCATACAATACACTCTGTAAATATTAACCTGTATGTTTAACTAGATTCTGAAAACAAGGGAACTGCCACCACAGATTCTTTGTTTGTTGTATCATTCATCAATGTTGAACTCAACAAAATACCATGGATAGTTCATAATACACCCATTGGCACCACTGAGGGAGTCAAACTGATAGTTCTAAATCTTATGTAAAAGTAATGTAAGGTGAGCTTTGTATTTAATTTGAGCTAAAGAAGCAGAGAAATTTATGATGGTAAGAAATGAAGAGTGACTTCTGTGACATTTGGTTGAAAATTGAGTCAGGAAAATGTAGGCAAGCCAATTTTCTAATTGGGACCAAATTGATAGGTAATTCTTTAGGAAACAAAAAATTATAACAATGACCAATAGGTCAGAATAAAAAAATAAAATAATATATATTTCAATTTGAATAAAATTGAAGCAAGCGGTATATAAATATAGTATAATGGGCTTTACCTCCTAAATATACATGAATGTTTACATAAACATATTGGTACATGTAGTATGCTAAAACTCCTGTTTTACTAACTGTGGCTATGTATCATACAATCTACCTATATATAGTTATAGGGTAGTTTCCAGTACATGAGCAGTAAGTTTCCCTACACTTGTAGCTTCAGCTGTTACTTCCTGGTAGACTTCCTGTTGTCTAGCATTTTAATGCTTCTAATTTATCACTGTATTTTGCTTTCATAGGACTTGTGTAGTCCAGCTGCACTCTCACTAAACTTTTATGTATAATGGAAAGAAATTTGAGTAATTCATGAACATTTGATTTTCTATTTAGTTCCGAATTCAGATTTATTCTGTCTATCTTGATTTTTCTCCTTTATATGATTTCATATAATTCTGAATAGATTGTCACTCACTATCCCATTCCTATAAGCTTTTGGTAGATTATTCTCAAGTAATTTCATATGTGTCCCAATAATGTATCTCTTCATAAAATAGGTAAATTTCTGAACTTAAAATCCTGACAATACTTTGCAATTTCATAAAAATAAAGTAAATTATCACATTTTTCATCATTACACATAAATATGAATGTAATTACATGTATATTTCTTATCAATGACTGAATCAGAATTTATCTGGCATGAATCTTGAAAATTATTAAAATTATGATTAGTCATTGTCAAAATTTAAGCTGGAAATATGTCTAGAAATAAAACAAGATATATATCTGTTTTAGCCTGACACAGAATGATCATAGTTCTTTGAAGTGCATGACATCAGAAAGTAGCTATTGAGACCTGATGACTTTGTACCCATCACTTTGCTTTGGGTTTAGAGAGTCAGCTTTTCATCAACAAAGAAAATGCTTTCTTAAATAAATGATTGTTCTCCTTTCCCTTTTGTGGTAGGACTATTTGGCAGACCATAAATCTAAAGAAATGTAATGAATGAATGGTGAAATAGTAATCCTATTGGGGTTGGCATCCAAATAGTCTGATATTTTTACCTATCATTTAACTATTCGCATGTTTTGAAAAAGATAATAAAATATTGTTGTGATCAATAGACTAGTTTTTTTTGTCAGTTCAAATGAACACACACACGCTCCTCAAGTACACCTACATGGTCGATGTAGTTACAAACCTTATAGTAACAAAATAGGCATCACTCAAACATAGGAATGACCCAGAATTATGGAGAATTCAAAATTTGAAACCAACATAAAAATATCCTGATTAATTGGGAAGGTCAGTTTCAAAATGTGAACAGTAAACCTTTTAAAGTATTTTGTTGATGTACATATTAGGAGCGGTAGTCCCGGCAAACTACCAATGAAATTGGTGTGTGCTGTGTGTGTAGATTCTTTAGCTGTAACATAGACCTTCATTATATGACTTTGATCTTTTACTTGTCTTGAGTTTAAGACTGATGCAGAGATACTTGAGTGAAGTTTCATGAAATTTGTCTGAAATTAGATCAGGAACCAACAGATAAACCAATGCTACAAATTTCACATTGTTTCGTCACCGTAGCTGTGACCTTGACATTGAATACAATACATTGACAGTTAATTGATGGAGGGAATGTCATGTAATTTGAATAAAAAAAGGTAAGTCAGAAATTTGTGAAAAGACAAATATCCAATTCATCCATCATGATGACCATTACAATTTTGTAGCTATGACCTTGACCTTGAGTGTATGGCATTGACCTTCAACAGGTTTCCATAGATTGATGTAAGTAACACTTGTGTGAAGTTTCATTAAAATTGGAAGAATAGTTTTATCAGGAACCTGCGGACAAGCCAAATAATGACAGACGGACGGATGACCCGGATGACACACATATATGCTTCACCAAAGCACACGTACAATAATGATGATAACAACACAGAGACATACCATAATGAGGTTGAAGTGCTGACCCATCAGATTGGCGGCCATAAAAGCTCCCATGCCAACACCCATGGCCGTCAGTAAGTAACAAAACCATATACTGTTTCTGATAAAGAACCCCTCCTGTAAAACAAAATAAACACAACATTTTTAATCCATTTAAATGATGAATTTTGAAGGATTATTTAAAACTAATATAACTGTTGTTGTAACTTATAATTAGACCTTGACATAATCAAACTATAATATGAAAGCAATTCTTCCTTTGAAGCAGTTCCAACTTCCTGCATCTCCACAAATAAAGATATTTCATGATGATTTTGTCTTAATATCAATCTGTTCAAAAATATATATTAAATGGATGAGATACTAATTTTCTAAAGATTTGTATATGTAATACCAGCAGTAACGATTTCTTTTGTTTTTATAATCAGAACTACAATCTATTAGGTTTATATGGTTATATGTCAGATCGATATTTTTGTGCACACCGTTTTTAGTGATAGTGAAAATTAAATTTGAAATTAGAGCTAAATATTATCAGTAGTTTCAAAGATCTTCCACTGTGTAGTTGATACAATGCTTTAGAAAATATTAAATATACCTTATCACAGGTTATACAGGGAGGGAAGTACCAGAAGTGTAACTGACACAGGACAAAGGCACTGCCACTCAGCAGCATGGAATATAACAACAGCTGTAAAAACAGGAAATGGTTTTCCTCTCCCACACAATTATTTATCCTGGAAAAAAAATCAAAACGGAAATAAAATATGAAGGAAATAGCTGTAAAAACGTTACAGGAAATGTTTTTCCCTCTCTCATCTCCATTCCCCTACATTACTAATATATTAGTACAGACTAAGGGACTTACCAGTGTTGTTTCCCCCAAAGGACTGAGAGACTAACAAGTGTCCCCTTGTCCAAGAGACTAAGGGATTACCAGTGTCCCCTAACTCAACAGACTAAGGGCCCCCCTTCCTCTACAGACTAAGGGCCCCCCTTCCTCTACAGACTAAGGGACATACATGTGTCCCCCTCCCCTACAGACTAAGGGACTTACCAGTGTCCTTTCCCCCAAAAGACTAAGGGACTTACAAGTGTCCCCTCCCCCAACAGACTAAGGTCCCCCTTCCCCTACAGACTAAGTCTGTTGGGAGGAGGGTCCCCCTTCCACAACAGACTAATGGACTTACAAGTGTCCCCTCCCCCAACAGACTAAGGTCCCCTTCCCCTACAGACTAAGTCTGTTGGGAGGAGGGTCCCCCTTCCACAACAAACTAAGGGACTTACCAGTGTACCCTCCCCCAACAAACTAAGGGACTTACCAGCGTACCCTCCCCCCACAAACTAAGGGACTTACCAGTGCCCCCATCCCCTACAGACTAGGTGAAATTTACCAGGATCTCTCCCAAGTCCTCCTTCCCCACCAACAGACAATTTACATAATTTAACATGCTATCTCCTCTCCTGGAGTATGGACAACGGACAATTTTCTAGTGTTTTATGTATCCCCCCCCCTACCTAACTATGACATACCTACCTAGGTCCTTTTTTTCCATATGTACCTTCATTCCTACCAGACACGTATACTAAGAGAAAACAGACTTACCTTGGTCACTCACACACACATATACACAGGATACTGACTTACCTTGGTCACTCACACGCACATATACACAGGATACTGACTTACCTTGGTCACTCACACGCACATATACACAGGATACTGACTTACCTTGGTCACTCACACGCACATATACACAGGATACTGACTTACCTTGGTCAATCACACACACATATACACAGGATACAGACTTACCTTGGTCACTCACACGCACACATACACAGGATACTGACTTACCTTGGTCACTCACACGCACATATACACAGGATACTGACTTACCTTGGTCACTCACACACACATATACACAGGATACAGACTTACCTTGGTCACTCACACACACACATACACAGGATACTGACTTACCTTGGTCACTCACACACACATATACACAGGATACAGACTTACCTTGGTCACTCACACACACATATACACAGGATACTGACTTACCTTGGCCACTCACACGCACATATACACAGGATACTGACTTACCAGGGACAGTGGTGGTCCATCCTCAACACACACTGTTGACAGCGCCGACAGTGGTGCGCTCGGTGGGGACGCTTTCTCTGACACTTATCACAAAAATACCAGTCAGTTGTATCTGTGAAAGATAATATTAAACCAGTTACATATATTGTATCTGTATAAAATCTTCAATATGATTAGCCAATTTATACTCCTGTACATATTCACTAATGTAACTAGGTTTATTCCACAATGACAATTTGCAAATTATTGGAACCAGACATAAATTATGATCTTCCTCTGTACAAGTCTACAGTCAACTTTCAACCATATTTCCCTAAATTCAAGTACATACTTCTCAAATGAAAAATATTGTTTCAGCATCCCCCCTCCCCTTTTTTGTTTTTCTTAAATATGAAATTTAAGCATTGTTCATCAAGTCTCCATCCTAAATTTAAACACTATCAAAGTCTGTATGAACCATATTTATGTAAACAACATGCTTACAATTCTCAACACAAGTTTCTGGAGTATACCATCCTCGATATCCAGGGTTACGCTCACTTTCGCTCTCTGCACCCCTGGAATCTGCTAGCTATTTGATTGGTGTCCGGTAAAAAAACAACTGAACCATCACTAGGCTGATAGTTGTCATTTGAAGATAACAGAGGAGCGACGCCCGACTTTAAAGCCAATAAGTTTTACCGAGATTCTTTTGCTGTACATCAGATAATCAAACTAGCCTTCTCATCTCATCCGCTAGGCGTTGCACACTGAATTTTGCGATCACAAATTCCAGGGGTGCAGAGAGTGTAAGTGAGCGTAACCCCTGGATATCAAGGATGGAAGTATGTATACATGATACTCTTATTAAACATGACTAAGTTGCTTTGTAGACAGTTTCTGATGGCACTATACTCATGAGACCATTTTACTTACTGATGCCAGATAGGTCCTCCAATAGAGGAACTCTGCCTGGATTGGTGGTCGCACATCGAAACAATGCAACAATACAGTTCACAGAAATAATAGAATAACCTGCAAATTACAATGAAAAAATTATAATTTCTGGAAAAAAAGTTATATTAAGTATTAAATCTTTTATAATGAGATAGCTTACTACTGTCGAGAAAATATCATTTCTTTCTTAGGAAATGAAATGGTTTAAAAATTACAACATACATTAAATTATCAAAGTACAACATTGAAATTAAATAGGGGTTAAAAAAATAAAAAAAGATTGACCATCATGGTAAACATTTATATCACCACTTCCCAGTCTCAGGTCGGTCAGCAGCATTGATTGAGACATTTTGTAGATTACAGGTATAGTTGGTTAACCTTGTATTTATTGTTTTGATTTATTTCAAATGAAATGAGAACTATGTCTTACCAATGATAAAGAGCACAGAGACTTGGCCATCATGATAACGCGGTACCAGTATGATAAATAACCCTACACAGGTCCCGTAGACCCAGTACAGTGCTGTAAACGCTAGAGTCAGAATACCCATTGTGTCATTCACAAAGTGAACACGACCGAGGAAGGGTAAACGTTTGATCATAATGTTGCTGGAATAATCGCTGGAAGGGGGCTTTGGTTTGGGGAACTCCATTCCTTTTAATGCCATTGGAGTTCCAATAAGGATAGCTGTGTCGTCCTCCATATTTTCGGACATCTGGTTGCGAAGGAATATATTTCCAAAATTTGGAAGTTGAGAAGATCTGGATGTTACAAAGGATGAAATGAAATCACAGTCTTCAATTGAATATGTTCACCATTCATCTCAGTGATTACATTCTGGTCTGAAAAGTGAGAAAAGTAAAGTCAAATAATACAATTTTGCACAATGTTTCTTCTTCCTCATTTCAGCATTTTTATAAAACTAAATACAGCCAGTTTAGGTATTAATCCCAATACCTAAACATATCTTAAAAAGTAGCTTTGCTCTATGAAGTCAGATTTGAAAAAGAACTAATAGAGGAGGCCCAAATCAATAAAATATCCTGTAATGTGGGCTAGAGGTTCTATAATTAAATAATAATAATAAAACTCCCCACACATCGAGATATGTATAAACATATGATTTGTAAGTCCCTGTATACGTAGTAGCCTATTGAACTAGGCAAGTACCTGCAGTATTGAACTAAGCAGACCTATTGGATAACTCAACTACTTCACCTAATATTGTAAACAAGTATTTAATGCTAGTATTAAATTGTCAAATTGCTGCATCTAATTGTTGTAAATTAACGCCAACCCGTACGTTCAAACGAAAACATTTATCGGTTAGCATGGTGTTGACATATATGTAACATCGATCTAGGCTCCTAACTGTCTACACCCAAGCGTCAGTAAGTGAGTAACTTCAGTAGGCTAACGCACAGACAAGTTTTGCTGACAGCGTTCCTCAAATATTTTCCGCGTGGTGATAAGATTTTATGGCTGAATAAACACAAAAACATGCACAGGCCTACCTGTTTTCCAAGGAAACAAGAAAGCTGCAAACTTTCACAGAAACTCTTGGTCGGTAAATATCTTTCCCTGGACACGTTTTTAAGCGTTTCCGCGAGAAAATACTATAAATTTAGGTACGAATTCTATTTTTTTCCGGATATTTTATTTTATTGCACGCCATTCTTAAATTGAGAGACACTGTCAATTCAGGTCTCTGTAAAATAGGACGAAGTTATCTTAAGCTACATGTTTTTAAAAACATGCATTTTAAAAGCAAATTACTGTTCTTCATTTTTCTACCTTTTTAATTTTCCTCATTTTCAATCAGCAATTTTGTTTAACCCCTCTTTTGACCCCCTCTAACGCAGGAGCATGATTGGTATACTTACACAACTACTTACAGGGCCAAAATAAATTAAGTCACGGACTTAGATAGCTAATCTATTTTCATAGAAAGTTAAAAAAAAAAATCAACACACTAAGATGAAAATAAAACTTTAAATATGTTCAGATCAATCGAAATATTTCAACAGCCAGTATACATTCCATACATTGAAACATCAACTATGTAGCACTTTCAAAAATTAGCAGGCACGTAGCTGCCTATAGGCAGAATAGGAAACTGCCTACACATAAATTTCATAAATACACTTTTTTTACTGGTCCTTGTTTTTGTCGATTACATGTATAATTTTGCTTTTTGACTGTCTTCGGATAAAGTTTTTTTCCCGTTCCCGGGCCGTCATTAACGAGCCGTTCCCTTGCCGTCCAGTTTTCTTTTGTAAGCCTATGTCTGCCCGGAAAACTTGGCGATTACAATTTGTCTGAACTCTGTCTGACCTCTGAAATCGTTCAGTTAACGTTATACTGACTTTGGATAACGCTTAAAACATTTATTCACATAAATCACTGATGTTGCCCATCATAAAGTATGCATATTCGACAAAATGTGTGATATAATATGGAATAAAATATATTTCCCGATATTTTCTCACAAAAAAAATAGCTTTATTTTCATTAATTAAACTATTGAAATTGCCAGCGGAACACAGGAGATTGCTCCTAAGGCCTTCTATTATTCCAAATTTTCCGGGGGGGAGGCCCCCCAGACCCCCACCAAGGGGAGGGGGAAGACCCTCCCATACCCTCCCCCTCTAGCGCTTCGCGCTCGGGAGCTGCCTACGGCAACACAATGTCGTGGAAAGACCCCCTCCCATTCCCTCCCCCTCTCGCGCTTCGCGCTAACATTCTGCCTACATACCATATTCAACCCTGAGCTACGCCCCTGATTAGTGTAGACAAATGCTAATTTGATACTGTGTAAGTTTCCCACAGTGAAATTAATTAAAGTTCACATTACCTGTAAGTATTAAATGTCATTGATTATACTTTTTCACAAGTACAAATCACACTAAGGTGTTCAGATTAATTTTACATGTTTTAGAGGTTTAAATCGACTTCCGGTAAAAATGACATATTTAATCATTGGGGATGGCATTTTTACCGAAAGTCAATCTAAATCCCTAAATAATGTAAAATTACTCTGAATTACACCTTAGTTAAGGTCCAAATATAGCTGTAACAAACTCTCAGGTCCCTGTGGTACGTATATACATGTACATCACACTTAACTTCACAATTTCTAAACCCGCCTTTAATCAGTTAACATGTAAATTTACTGCATGCTATCATAGGTCTGATTGTACTTTGAGTCCTAGAGGAAATCAATATATATATATCTGGAAAGGGTCAGCTTATACATTTTTAAAGAATTTTCTGTTGATTTTATACAGCTCTTTTTAAAATTATCAAAATGTTAATCACTTAGCTAATAATTGCAAAAAATTGCTGACCAAGACATTCTAACTTCTTTCAACCAGCAAGGGAAATTGAACTGGGTTGATTGCCTGTGACTTAGGTCAGTTTGTTAATGTGTGTCTCAAGTTCTGAAATCAGGGTCTTCTCATATTATTAATATTTTTTTAAATAATTTTTTGGTCTTAAGTCTTTAACAGTTTTACTAAACTGCTTGTTGGACTGTTTAGTCTATTTAATGGTGAACTGCTAAAAACTTTCTGTTAACAGTTTCTTAGCAGCTGTGAAGACTGCTAAGATTCAGACTCACAGCTATAGTTATAACTGCTCAAACAATGCCAAATAAGTCCTTGACTGCTTAAAAACTGTTTAAATACTGCTTAAATAGGCAGTTCACTTTGACTTGGGAGGTCTCATGCGAGTTTATTCTGAGGGAGGAATTTGTAGCTTACAGACTTATAATAGGCATGTACATGTTCCGCTAAATTATTTCATTCTCTTCTATAACCCATTTCTCGTTAAGAAAAGGGTCAAATGAATACACATACTTTTTGACATCTGATTTTAATTGAAAGTACTGACTAGGTATATACCAAAAATACAACACCCATGTTGAAACCATGATAATAATCCCTATAATTTGATTTAAGAATTTCTTATTCCAACATTATATGCATTGAATTCAAGTTTAATTCAAGGTTAACAAAACAGATGTTTTTTTCCCTGGATGAATCATTGCATTAAAGAACATTTGTAAAATATAATAATTGGAGATAAGTTGTCCTGTACTTTCTAGTTTTTTGCTCACCTGGTCGAAGAGCAATAGTGCTAGCTTATGCTATGGTGCTGTTTCCTGCATTAATTAATCTCATTGTTCAAACGAATGACGTTTACCCTCTTTCAAGGTCACATGGTTGAAATGTGCTAAACTCTCATTCAGACCACTTCTGCTGGTTAAACAACAGACCTACTGGTACTTATGCTACATTGTTATCTTGCCTAGCTGTAGTATGCTGGTAGAGCTACCAAGTTGTTAAAAAACATGACCTTCACAGTGTTCAAGGTCACAGTAGTCAGTTGTGCCCAAAACCTTGAAATAACTTCTGAATAATCAAAAGGAAGAGGACCAAGACATTTTGTCTGTAGCATAAAGGGATGAAATCAAAGGACTATAAAGTTCATCAAAATAAGCAAACTTATATCTACTTTCAAGCTGTTTTAACCCGTTAACCAACTTCTTGTAAATGACTAAAAATCTTAGGGTCATATTTGGCTTGTAGCACACAAGACTGACAGGTCAGCAAGGGCCCAGACATGTGCTTGACCATACCCCATGGTCTTTTTAGTGATAGCGACTTTGACTTTGATATCCAAAACTATTCAAACCCCTATTGAATGTCTACATTATCACCATGCCAAATTTAAAGAGATCAGTCTTTTGGATTCTGAAATAAGGACTGTACTTTCTAGTTTTTAGCTCACCTGGTCGAAGAGCAATATTGCTAACTTATGCTATGGTGCTGTGTCCTGCATTAAATAATTCTTCTTATTACTCATTAAGCCAGTATCATACTGTCACATTTGTTCAAATGAATGACCTTTACCCACTTTCAAGGTCACACCCCAGAGTCTTTTTTTAGTAACAGGGACCTTGATCTTAGAAACTTTTAAATCCCTTTTGCACATCCACTGCCTTTATATTTTCCTATGGTTGGTGGGAGAAACAATGGTGCTTGAAATAAATGTATTTCCTTTTGTTTTATTGGTGACTGTTCAGCCNATACCTGTGTATTCATGTTTTTTTAAAACTTTTTATAGGGAGTGACATTGGAACATTTTACAGATTCTAAACTTCAACTGGTCATATTTTTGTTTACTTCACTGATCAACCTAATCCTATTCCGCACAGTCTAAATGCCGAACATTTACTTTCAAGTACAATTTTGTTCCAGTTTCATTGTTGAGTTTAACTATAAAAGATAATTTTGTTCATGCACTGATTTCATTTATTACAGTTGGTTTTATAGCGAATACGGAGATAAGTAGCATTTGTACCCAACAGCTGAGGGCTGTGTGGCTAAGGTGTCTGACCATCTATGACCACTAGCCCTCCACTACTGAGTCACAGGTTTGAGGCCTGCATGGGGCAGTTGTGAGACCACAGGTCAGTGATTTTTCTCCAGGTACCCAGTTTTCCTTCACCACCAATACATGGCTTATCCTTAAATGACCATAAAACTGTTAATAGGACGCAAAGCACAAACCAAACCAAACCCAATAGCTATAGTAAAATATCCTTCTCATTTGGTACATTACGAATGATCATATCAATGTAAATTATGATTTATTTCAATGTCCTTTTGACCTCTAAAATGATAAGGCCACAAGTTCAAGGTAGCTAATGCTAGGCAAACTTAGTTATGATACTGAAAGACTTAGGATATGATAATTTGTACACAGACAACATAGGAGTAGATAGTTCCAATGACAGCTTGATGGTTCTGGCTGTCGACATCAGTGGGTTAGAACAGTGAAAACCTCTAACTTTACGTTAATTGTAAATTGATAAGACTGAAACCATTCATTGTCATTAGTGTTACTGTACTCTTATGTAGAGTATTCTGTCAATGTTTCTGAAGGTGATTTTAAGATTTCCAAAGGTGACCTTAAAAGTTAAAGTTACGTACTAACCTTCACTTTTTTTTATCAGCAGGATAAAGCTGGCATTTTAATTTTTCTTGTGTATAGCAAAAGTTATTACCTTACCGTTAATACCACACTATGGGTGTGAAATGTGTCAAAGATATAAAACAAAAAGAATTAAATTTGATTTTTCTCACGTGCTATAAAGAATTTGATGATTTACATAATGTCACACACCCAATGTGCCCCTTTAAAAAGACAATATTTACTGTGACGTGCAGGCGGTCACTCATCAAACTACTGACCAAACCTGGGTTATACCACATCACTTGAAAAGCTAGCTTGCCAGTAACACAGTATTTCCCCCTCATATTCCTTAGATATCACATTATTTCCTCCTCTGAGACTTGGCCTGGGGAATCCTGTGGGTCTTCCCTGTGTATCAAGGCACCTTCCTTGACCACCGGGAACTGGCCTTACGTGATCACAGAGTCATTACACTGCCACCAAATGTAACCTGCTGGCGGTCACCCATCCAACCTACTATCCACGCTCGCTATTACTGAAATAGTGAGCGGGTCCCCAGGTTATACTGCATCATTGGAAAAGCTAGCTTGCCAGTAACGCAGTATTTCCCCCTTATATGTCACATAATCTCTCGACATCTCATGAATTCGCTTATGCATGATAATAGCATAACCATGGCTTCAACTCTGCGTGCGGTGAGATAAGTAGCAGTGAGGAAAAGGTTTCACAAGCCATAAACTTCACATGAATTTAGGTCATTGCAATTTTAAATCTTTTCATCCCAATATCCTCCGAATATTTCTGAAATTTGATGACTTCAATTTTAACTGCAGTTTTTCCGACAGATTGCGGCACAGTAACTTTAACAAAGGGAAGTAGTGCCCTGTATATTTTTGGTAGCTATGATAGTGTTGGTTGTAATATGTGAACTTCATTACTAAATCTGAAATTCATTTTTAGCATAATGGAACACAAACATGTGATTTTGTTCATGATTGTCAAATGTATAGCCTCGGCTATTTTTTATACGAATGTTTCATCATGGAAAATAAAAGCGCATGAAAAGTGACTTCCCATTTCGAAAATAAGACACTATTTACACAAATGCTAATTGTAACCAATTAGCCAATTAAAACAAAATCAAAGTTACTGAAATATTGTATTGTTGACTCACAAATGATAAACAACCTGGAGCCATCAATGCTTGGAAGACATTTATTGATTTTGATACATTAACAAAACGATTTTCAATTTTCATTATACAGCTTCAAAATGATAATATGTTTTGTATTAAAAAAATTAGCTTGAATCAGTAAAAGGTCTTACCCTATCACACATTGAATAAGACAGTCATTTCAGTTTTCTCCTCAGACTATCTGTCCTTACAGACAGTCATTAAGACTACTTTTTTGCATCAGTCTGCCTTTCTTAGACCTGTATGATCAGATATGGGAAGCATGGACTCTCAGCCTGCTAATTGGACATATAGTAGTTCAAGACATCAGTGAGTTATATTTCTGCTGGTCATCTACCATCTTCAAGAACACCCAGAACTTCTTTTTATGGTAACTACAATGTAAAGTATTCTTAGTTTGTAATTTGGATAATAGTCCATTTTATTACCATAATGGGAAAAAACTCCTGTAGACCCCCTTACAACTTCTTCTTTAGATCTTTAGACCTGCACACTAAGTGGAATGACTGTTGCCTTTGTAGCTGACAGAATGTATCAATCAAAAGGTTCCTAGACAAGTTCATTAGGCTGCAGAGTTTTAGGATTGTACTGGGATCAGCAAACTGACTCCGTGTATTAGTAGTAGGAAAAAATATTGGTAACACATTATTTCGAAAACCATGTTTCTATTACTAAAGTATTGCCGTTTATGTTATATAGATACTTTAGGTTACTTTTCCAATTAGATATACAAGGAGGCAGGTAAAATATTGTGTTACTCTAAAACTATTTCTTTCTCAGGATTCTGCTTCTCACCTGCTTTCAGTCGCAGAAGGTAAGACAATAGTACCCCTTCCTCCCATAGTTTCCATGGCAGACTGAGGGAGACAAAATTGATCATTACCAAATTGTACACATAAATCTGATGCGAAACATTTACTGCATTCCTGACTGTCATAGTTGTTATTGGGAGGGATGGTTCAACATTATATGATATATCAAAAACAGCAAATCAGTATTCCATAAACTTGTTTCTGTGGTATTCTCTTTTTAAATAGTCGAAACTATAACGTCCTGTAATGCTGTGCAATACATGCTGAAATGATCACTTGTATCATGGATTCACCTGTAGTTAGATCCCTGGGCCATTTTTGTTTATTGTGATCCAAACAGTTAAACTGGTTGGACCAGAGTTGATCATTTATGAAATAAGCTCGGACTTAGTAATCTGATGCTTTTTTCAGGGGAGCCTTGACAAAGCCTTGCGAGGCCTGCATAAAGGATTTATACCCGAAAATATTACATTTGAAAACCGATGAACCTGTTGTTCCGCCTAAATTTACAGGCCCAAGGAATATCTTCCTATTAGGAGGTTCCTCGGGTGTATTCAGCTATAGGGAAGAATATTCTGTATTTACCGTAGGGAGGGACCTAGTATATCTACCTGTAAGGAGGGGAAATCCTTTGAGGCACATGCTCCCAACATGGCTGCTCCAACTAGTACAGACTCCTCTTCATCAGGTAAAATCAGGGGTAAGCCTGTTGTCCCAAAAAAAAGATAAGTTAAAGATTTGTCTGCAGTCATAACGGTTAAAAAAATGGACATAAAGAGTTTCAAAAGATTCAAATATATTCACAAGAAAACAATCACTATAAAAAAGACCAAACAATTACAAGGCAAAGAATTGCAAGACACTCCCTAGTCCCCCACAAGTAATGATTTCTTTATTTACCGATGATGAGATGTACACTTTATCTCAGGATTTAGGTGACAGTGACATACTTTTTGTCCTCAGTTTTCTGCCATCCCAAGATGTATTTGCATACCAAGTCTTGTTACTCCAGGTGAAATAGTATAAAAGATATGCCCAGGACACAATCTCTTTGAACGGACAGAATTTGGACGTATGGACCGAGTGCAAACCTATAGTCCCCCCTTCCCCCAAAACTCATTAATCCAATGACCCAAACTAATATGGTAATCTAACTATATAGCCAGTGCTTTTGGAGACACAAAAGCTTTTTTTTTCTTCTATACTTAGCTATTAATACTGCCACTTTGACTGGCTAGACTTGGAACAAAGGTGGCTGGATCATTGCAGTTTAACTGTGAATCAATGAATAGAAACAATATACCTGTGACATCCACCTGTGTTTTGAGGTAGACAGTGTTTTTACGAAGTCCACCACACATGTAGATCACACTTATATCCAGTCCCCTTCCTCTCATCTCTTGGATAATATGCTGGGTTCCATACTGTCAAGTAAATTAAGTTCTACTCATAACAAGTCCTTCTCCAAAATCAACAATATCCACTAATCACAAACAGAAATATATTGACATGTTGTGACATATATTTGATAAACAAAATCATTTTTCCGCAATAGATATGAAAACAAATCCAAAAGTTTGAATTTAATTCACCTTGCATAGGTTATGGCAATAGTAATGACTTAGATATGTACAATGTCATGTAGTGTCTGAAACACAAAACAACACTGTACAATGGGAAAGTTTTGCGTCCATGTAGTTTTCGTACTTGTGAGATTTTTATTAGTGAACAATAACCGAGGAAGTAGTTTTTCAATCCATTAATGTTCCCTGGATATCATCCTTATTTTGCTTGGATATGAACAGACTCAGCGTTTTGGATGAGGTTATTTCAAGACAGAAGCAGTTTGCTTGCACAATGGTAGAAGAGTGGAGTTGGTAGTATGCAGATGGATATTCAAACATCAGCTCCAACTACTAAAGCTATGCAACACATTGGTGAAACCAACCCCACCACACAATTAATTTATTTAGATATATACTTACTGCAATAGCTTGTATAGTGGCTAGATATTTAACTGCAAGGTCGTTCATATCACAATTCAAGGTCAAACCACATATCTGAAATGTAGACAATATCAGCAATAAGATTTTATCAGCTTGGAAATATGTAATATCAAAGATTTACTTTATACGCTTTCAATGTACGTATTAATCGGGTTGTGAAGAGGGTTTTACAGAGTTAATCAATGCAGTAATTATTTGATGTCAAAAAGAACCACTCAATTGACACCAATTTAACACAAAGAAAAATATAATTTTATATGTATGATAATTACTGTGAAATCAAATATTTTCGTGGTGGCAAAATTTGGTAGTTTTCTCAAAAAATCACCACTTCATGGGTCACGAGTACACACTATACGGGGAAGAGCTTTAAGTCAAACTTGTAATCACTTTGTGGACCTATGAATTTGTAGATGAAGAGTACCAAAGAAATCAACAAAATAAAAAAAACCACAAAAATTAGTGATTTTACAGTACATCGTGGGCAATAATGCCTTAAAATGTCACTGGAACAACATGGAGGTAACAGACTCATATGACATTGAAACCCATCCTACACTTTAGAAGGACTGTTTTAGACTGGAGGATTTTTGTTGTTGTAATTAATGGGCCATAACTTCCTAAATACCAACAGAAACAAAATATAAAAAAACATAAAAAGGTTTATGTTATGGGGATTAAGATATGTGTGCAGAGTTTCATTGAAATAAGAGCAGGTCTTTGTGTACAAAATCATGTATACAGAGATTCATGTTAAACCCCTTCTAACTTAATAATGTGGAATATATTTATTGAATATAGTTTTTTAAATGGCTTAACTTTAAATGACTTAACTCTCAATTCATATATTTTCTAAGGTCATGTAGTAGAAAACGCTGAATTGGAACAACACATCTGTTAGTGGTATATCATTGTAGTGACCTTACTTCTCTTTTGCACCATCCATGATACTCCAGGGGTTACGGTCACTTTTGCTTTCTGCATCCTGGAATATAAGTAAAATCGTTAATCCTTTGATTAACTAGCTTTGAAGTCGGGCATCACTTCTCTATAATCTTCAAACGACAGGTGTCAGCCTATCGATTGGTCAGGTTTTTTTCACCTCAGATCAATCAAATAGCTAGCCGTGTGCCTTCAAATTTTGTTATTTATATTCCAGGGGTGCAGAGAGCGAAAGTGAGCGTAGCCCTTGGAGTATCAAGGATGACTACACACAAACCATTTATCAAATCATTAGCATAATTTTTGTTATGCTTTCATACCATGCCTTTTAATGTTGGGTCTGCCAAGGGGGACCGGTTGCCATGGAAATCTGGCCAAATATGTAGATCTCTTGTCAGCTCACTCAAAGACTGTAGATTTTTCTGCTTGGCTTGCTTCTCCAGCAGTTCATTTAAAACATCATGTTCGTGAATATTTCTAGAAATGGAAAGGTTCAATTCTATGCATAAGGATTAGTTTCACATACTACAGAAATATTTTAAATCACATATTCTGCATCATGGGCAGAATACAGTATTATGATAATTTTGTTCTATTAGTGTCTGAAACAAATCAGTCTTTTCACGATTTTTCAGCAGTAATATAATCATTGAACTTCCAGAAGTATCATCCCGCAATGAACATCTGGTGTTAATTGGCCATTTAAGAAGACATTGATCACTGTTTGGTGTTTTTTGTCTATCAGAAGCACCTGTAATGGCATATATCAAAATCAATTTGGATCTTGTGGATAAAAAAAATGGTTGACCTCACTTTGTTATCTTGGCAATAAAAGCGTTAAGAAAACTAATTAGTGACACTTCACAATTGTGTGTGAAATTTCATTAAAAGTAACTCCTGTAATGAAGAAACTATACTCTAGATATTGAAACTGAAATTTTAGCCTGAAAAAAGTAAGTGTCAATATGTCTCCAATGACTTTTCAATTGACATTTAAAAAAAAATCTTTTCAATTGACATTTAAAAAAAAATGAAAAAATGAATACACTTATTAAATTCTAAATCTCATTGAAACTCTTTTGTGATACTAAATAATCAATGATTAGCTCAGCCAGGGTTAAAAAAAAAGGCAAAAAGGCAAAAGTTGGAAAATTCAACTCCGATGGGCCTATTCTTGGATTACAGAAATATGTGGTACCATCCCTACATGTAGGACCTATACCTTTCCTGTGCTGCAGTCTTCACTTCCTGATAGGCTGGATGGCTCTGCACAATGAAGTCAATCTGTGGGTCAAAAGTATGTGCCATTCTAATAAGACTGAGAAACATACTGTTTCTATGGTTATCTATCTTCAGCAGAGCTGGTATATATATGTTAAGAAAATTACTACAAACCACAAATGTGGAATTTGTCCAAAATTCGATTATGTGGGCAAATTTATCCTGTGTGTATTTTTTCATGCTATCAGTGTGATCTTTGACAAAATCAGTTTTATCGGCTTTTGCTATTGACAATGAGATATTTGTACATGTGTATCTGTGTTTATCAGTTTAGATAAAAACAATTGAGATTTGTTGCCAAATATCGTGATTATACCGGTAATGTCACAAATTGAGTTTTATTTGCGACACGGAGCAGAGTCACTAAAACAGATATTTGTGACTTTATAATCACTTTAAATATATATAATTTAAACAAAAACGCTACTTTATAAGCTACCACATACTTTTTTAATTCATATTGGTCAAGTTTATCCAACTGTACTCAAGTTGTCTCCCTTTACCCAACCTCACCAGCTTGCCTGTGCTGCTCTGCCCTCCCTCTGTACACCATAATCCCGGTAATATAGAGGAGTAGAAAGGACCCCACACTCCCGGCACAAATACTTCTTTCTCATTCACCTGAAAACATAACAAGAGGCCAAGAATATTTAAGCATCCATAGCAAAATATTCTCAAATATTTTACTCGCAAACTTTGTCGGCTCCATCTGTTGAAACTACCAGCTAAATATTATTATATGATTCTATGCTTTTTGGTTCTTCTTCAGAAGTTGTTTGACGTAATTTTCCTTGTGACCTTGTAAGTAGGTCAAGGTCATTTTCCTTCTCAAACTTTGTTAGCTCTATCCCAGGAAGCCACCAGCCAAATATGAAGATTCTATACCTTTAATAAGTTCTTCAAAAGAAGTCATTTGAAGTGTTTGACACATTTGACCCCTGAGAACAAACTTTTAAAGTTGGGTGATCATACATGAAATAATGTATACATACTTGTAGTAGCACTATACCTCTATTAGCAGTATTCTTCTTTAAGTGCATTTTGAATGATCTCTGGTGTGCTATTTTATAGTGTCAACTTCATGTTTAGAGATATATATGTGTTTGAAATATGAACAGATGACCGTGGTATAAGATTTACACAGTACTAAGAAGAGAAATCATAGATTGCAATGTTTATATCAGTATTACCTTTAAGACTTACAATCATATGGCAGGTAGAAGTTCCACAAACCAGGACCAGCCTACTGGTGATGTCTGGAAGATTGTATGTGACCTCTGACCTTGGAATACAGCCCATGCATCCTACAACATTTTATACATTATATACAGGACTAGCCTACTGGTGATGTCTGGAAGGCTGTATGTGACCTCTGACCTTGAAATACAGCCCATACATCCTACAACAATGTATACATTATATACAGGACTAGCCTACTGGTGATATCTGGAAGGCTGTATGTGACCTCTGACCTTGGAATAGAGTATACATAGCCTACTGGTATACAGCATTGTACTCGGGACAAACCTTCTGTTGATTTATATACATGTCAGTGTCATCGACCAGGTTTCAATGTAATTTTAAAGGCACAAAGTTTAAAATTGATATCACCAAGGGCTAATGTGTAATGTCTGATTCTCACACACAATATCATCTGTACCTTTAAGTTCTAGTAACCTTGTTCAACATAGCTACTTATCCTGACTACTCATTTGGTTATTACCAAGTGCACCAGCATGGGCATCTATCATGGAGGTTCCAACAGGGATACCTTCCACCAGTCCCATCTCCTGTGCTGCATGCTGAGAGAGACCATTCCCACAGGGAGATCCTGGGGGCTTCACATCAGTACCTGGGAAGGAATAACAATTAATGACATCAGAATCTAGCAATGACAATTAATGACATCAGAATCTAGCAATGACAATTAATGACATCAGATTCTAGCAATGACAATTAATGACATCAGAATCTAGCAATGACAATAAATGCCATCAGAATCTAGCAATGTCAATAAATGACATCAGAATCTCGCAATGACACTTAATGACATCAATGACAATTTAATGACATCAATATCTAGCAATGACAATTAATGACATCAGAATCTAGCAATGACAATCAATGACATCAATATCTAGCAATGACAATTAATGACATCAATGACAATTTAATGACATCAATATCTAGCAATGACAATTAATGACATACATGTATATTTATCTACCTATCAACAATGAATCACAATTCAGACTTTCAACCTAGCTTAATATGCTGGTTTGATTTTTGATTTGTTGTAGTGTAACTTTCAAAATTGTATTGGGGAAATGATGAAAGGCTTTAAATTAACACTCAACAATTAGTACAAAACAAGAGGCCCAGAGGGCCTTTGTTGGGCTCTATCCCAGAAAGCCACCAGTCAAATATGAAAATTCTATACCATTTTGTTCTTCAGAAGAAGTCATTTGAAGAGTTTGACATATTTGAATGCTGTGACCCTGAAAGTAGGTCAAGGTCATTTTTATTCTCAAACTTTGTCGGGCTCTATCCCAAGAAGCTACCAGACAAATATGAAATGTCTATACCTTTTAGTTTTTCAGAAGATGTCATTAAATGTTTTTGACACATTTGACCCCTGTGACCTTGAAAGTATGCAAAGGTCATTATCATTCTCAAACGTTGTCAGGCGCTATCCCAGGAAGCAACCAGTCAAATATGAAGAATTTATACTTTTCAGTTCTTTAGAAGAAGTCTTTTGAAGTGTTTGACACATTTGACCCCTGTGACCTTAAAAGTAGGTCAAAGTCATTTTCGTTCGAAAACTTTGTCGGGCCCCTACCATGAAGCTTTCAGCAAAATATCATGAATTTTGGCCTGTCTGTTGTTTAAAGGAAAAGTTTACTGGCGCCGACGGACGGATGGACGCCAGACGCCGGACTGACGACAGACGCTGCACCATGACATAAGCTCACTTACCCTTAGGGCAGGTGAGCTAAAAAAAATCTACAATTTATGGACCATAAACAGAACCTTGACCTTTGGGTATGGATTTGAGAATTGTACATGACAAACCAACTCATCATGATCAATGGGAATGTGAAGCTTTATAAGGGGGGAAAAAATGGAAAAAGAATTTAGCCCAAAATTGACTGACTTGATCAAGAAGTTAAAAAAAAGGTTGAAGGAGTTTGAAAGCAACAAAATGTGACAAAATTATTCATTTTTTTCGAAATCAATTCATTGACACCAGCAAAAGTAATTACCAATCCTGCTGTAACCTTTGCCCACCAGATCCTCTAGAGAGATTTGTGTAAAGAAGTCCTCACTCCAGCCACTGTTACCATGGTCACCAGCCTGGTAATTCCACTTACAGATGAGAGAGCACAGGGACCTTCAAATACAGCAAGATCATCAAAAGAAAATGAACCACAGGGACCCTTCAAATACAGCAAGACCATCGACAGAAAATGGACCTCAGGGACCCTTCAAATACAGAAAGAATATAAACAGAAATGGACCTCAGGGACCTTCAAATACTGAAGGGTCATCTACAGACAAAGGTCATCTTTAGGTCAAAGGGATTTTCAAATACAGCAGACTAATGTACAGACAGAGTAGAAAAGGCACAAGAAGACACTGGCACCTTCACATAAAGTAAAGCTAGCAATGCACAAGAAGATGGAAATGCTTTCACATAAAGCAAGCTCAACAACATAGCAGAAGATGGAATATACACTTTCATGTAAAGCAAGGTCATCAATACACAAAAAGACAGCACAGCCACTGTTATCTATAAAGCTAGAAGCATCAAGTCATCACAATTGATTATAAATTATTTGTATGTGTTTACCTTGACAAGCTTCCAGTAGCTTTCCATGTTAGAAAGTCAGGCAAGTCAAATAGGTGGGAAGCTTTACTCCAACAGGTACTGTATAGATTCTAGTTTAAAGTAAACAATTATATGTGATAAGTACTAACACAAGTATGATAAAGAAGTCTAAGAGTCAAACTGATGTTGAAAATAATTATACCTCAAACTTTCTAGCGTCAATTATAACTCAAACTTTCTAGCGTCAATTATAACTCAAACTTTCTAGCATCAATTATAACTCAAACTTTCTAGCGTCAATTATAACTCCAACTTTCAAGCGTCAATTATAAATCAAACTTTCTATCGTCAATTATAACTTAAACTTTCTAGCGTCAATTATAACTCAAACTTTCTAGCATCAATTATAACTCAAACTTTCTAGCCTCAATTATAACTCAAACTTTCTAGCGTCAATTATAACGCAAATTTTCTAGCGTCAATTATAACTCCAACTTTCTAACGTCAATGCCTTTTATTTCATTGTAAAATATAAACTCCATGTATTTCAAAGCCTTCTTAAAAAGAAAGCCGAATTTAAAATTGGGCGAAAAATGGATTTTACCATCTTAGGGTGAAAATTTCCCAATATATTATGTAGTGCTAAACTTACTATACGTTGTATAGTGTTTGTAACAAATATATTCATTTTGGCATGCTAATGTGTACTGTATAGTGCTTATATTTACTGCATAATGCTTATATTTACTGTTCAGGGCTCCTGTTTACTATGTATTGCTTTTGTTTCTGTATAATGCTTATATTTACTGTATAATTCTTCTATCTACAGTAAAATGTTTGTATAATGTCGCCCATGCTTATAGAATTTTTTCACAAAAAAAAATCAAAAATCAACAGACCAAAAAGTTGTTATGGGAATAACTCAGGCTTGCCAAATCTGAGTCTTTTTAGCTAAACTGTTTACATACTTCAATTTGATAAGGAAAACCGCTAACAAATTAACTATATATTGGCCCAATACGGTATATAAAGGTTAAGTTATGTATAATTTTCTTCCAGTGCTGTATGTTTACCTCTTTGAGCCAAAGAAGTTTGGGTGCCTGCATTTCTAGGGAGATAGTGCCTCCTACATACTTGAGCACGTCATGGTCTGTGGCATTGATGCGCCTGGCTTGGTCCTCTGCCCGATGATCCATCCACATCATGATGTCTTGCCCAGTTGAACCTGTCACCATAAGTACAGATCAGAAAATTCAAGCACATGTAATGACATTATGCAATTCTGATTTTCAAGATTATGTATTTTCGTACCTCAGACAAGAGATATCCAACGTCATACCCCATGCTAGATTTTTCTATCTCGTCCGATCTGTCTTGTAACCTTAAGTGACTTTTCGCGGAATTTTTACACTGCGATGTATTCATCCGCGTATTAACTGCTTGAAATTGACAATTTGCATTATAAATGTTCTATTTTGTCGTTATATGTATAGTTTGGATGTTGTTAGATATTTGATGTTGTAGATAAAATATATTCTACACTGTGAAATACGAAATACATTGTAATCTATGTAAGGACGGACTTCATTTATACGCTGAAGCATGCAAATGTAGCTGAAGTAGTAAAGAGGTCATTATCATTTGAGGCCCAAGGTGGGATACTTGTAGTTTTTAGCAAAATTGAATCTTTTTTTCTAACTAAAAGGTGCGAGAAAAAAAATCAATTACCTGTAAGTGAGCAAGATCTGGTTATCTCAGTCTCGGGCTAAGATTCTGTAACATCCCAACCTCGGCTTACGCCTCGGTTGGGATTTTGTTACAGAATCTTAACCCTCTACCGAGATAACCCGATCTCGCTCAGTTACAGGTAACAGATTTTATTACTGTGTAACCTCTGTGTACCTATAACTAACTAAATATGTATATACACTGTACATGTTATGTATTACATTCACCGATGAATTTGGACTCAGTATTGTCATTAACGTTACGCAAGGTTGTCCATCTAAATTGAAGGATATTATTGTCTGAAATGCAATATGTGACAGATGGATGAGCTAAAACAAAATAGGGCCAACAAAACATGAAAAATAAACTTTTTTACTGGTACCTTCCTAACCTTCAGACATGTAACAGGAAACAAACATGTTGTTTTGTTTTGCCTGAAGTAAATCTGCTTATCGGGAAATTTTCGCCCATTTCGTTTTTAGTAGCAGAAAAAGAATACCAAATACTACTTTTTCTTTAAATTACATGTGAATATTAATGAATTTTTAATGTCCATCAGAATAACTACTGTATTCACTTTTGACTTTAGAATAACAACTTTCCAAATCTTTGTTTACCCATCCTTGTTACTCCAGGAGTTACTCTCACTTGCGCTCTCTGTGCTGGGAGCATAAGTGAGCGTAACCCCTGGAGAATTGAGGTTGATGTTAACCTAATTTCAGACTCATCACATGCACCCTGAAGCAGGGGTTTAATCCTACACCTAGTTACATGGACATCAGAGCTACCCCGCCACAAATATGGGCAACAAAACTCCAAAGTAATGTTCAATATTGAAGCAGGACAAATCTGCATAAGACTCCTACCTGAGCTATTGACAGACACTGAAGCTCCGTCTTTGTCAAGGACGACCAATGAACATGTGGCATCGAACCCAATACCATGGATCTCTTCCTTATCAATCCCTGACTCAGACAAAGCCCTCTGTGGAACAATAGCAGTTACAGACTCCATATGACTTTTTATACAATAGAATTTTTAATATGTGTTTATTGTTACATCTTTTCTTGCTAAAATACACAAGAGCAGCTCACAGGTGCTGGACACACTTAAGGTTATATCCATGTGAGGTAAGTAAATATAGAAAAAATAAGATCTAATGACCAACTAAAAAACTAGCTGCTTTCACCCTTCACAGGTTTGGTCAGAGCCCTGTGAAGGGTGAAAGCAGCTAGTTTTTAGAATTTTAAACATGAAAAGATTGTAGTTAAAACTAAAAGAGAATATTAAATCAGTTCAAATGTCACCCAAACCCTAATTCCATCAGTCAAACTATCTTTTCAGAGGTAAAATCCTACTTTACTACTTCACTTTGACACAATCAGATCAAGATCTTTAAATACAGCAAACATGTCGTAAGATTTGTGGATTGAAGATATTTTTGCAAAATCTTATCTAGCAGCATTTTCATACATTTTCCTTTCAATAATTAGCCCTGAAATACTTTACAAAGAGGCAAAGGTGTCAACACGATTGGTTTTTATTTTTTTTATTTTCTACATATAACCTTATGACCTTAACATTTGACTTTCGACCTCTTATCAGACACCTATGTCAAACTTTTCAAATGTGTCCACACAATATTCAGACCAGGAAGGTAAAAAGATAAGGTTTCTTTGAAAAAAGTATCTACCGGTACATGCATTTGTAAATCCAAGGGAGATAACTGTTACATACCTGTACCGTTTCCACTACTGCTGACCACACATTCTTTGAAGACTGTTCGTAGTGGTTAGTCTGTGGTGACCAGATCTTGATAGATTTGGTGGCGATACTGACCACCCGACCTTGACCACTAACCAATGCTGACCGGACACTTCCAGTACCCACATCGACACCCAGGTAATACGGCATTGTGATGAATAACTACAGGTAGCTACAATTTATCTGTGAGAAGTAGAAACAAAACACACATCAAGTATTTTATACACTTTATCCACACTTCAATCATAAATTTATTCAGGACACTGGCCTTAAATCTATTTCTTGAACACCAGAATGACCTTTAATTGTATGTATTTCTATCGGAAAACAGGAATGAACTTCCATAGTACCTCCATCACGAAATATACATGTACCAGGTACAGTGTATTGTCAATAGGAAAAGATTTTACCAATGTTTTCATAATAGGATTTCACCAAATACCATTCTTATAATCTTTTTTTGAATTATTCCTGTTTACCGACAAAATTATCATATATTCATTCATACAATGAAAGGTGACCGCCTATTTACCAGAAATAAGTATTATATAGGACAACTTTGTCAGTTAATAAAAGATGTCACCACTCGGTCACCGATTGTTTAGAGCTACAGATTTTAGTGCACTGTCTCTGATCTTTATAATAGACACACCACTGCTATCATGTCATGTTGACTTGATATACCACCTTTCCTCAATACCAATACACACCACCTAACCTGAATACCAATACATACCACCTTACCTCAATACCAATATATACCACCTTACCTCAATACCAATACATACCACCTTACCTGAATACCAATACACACCACCTTACCTCAATACCAATACATACCACCTTACCTGAATACCAATACACACCACCTTACCTCAATACCAATACATACCACCTTACCTGAATACCAGGGCTATAGGATCATCGGTACTGTGTGTTAGGGTGTTGATGTCTATTTCTAGCAATTTGAACATGAGCTTGTGGTGTTGCTCTTCTAACTGATATTTCATTGTACTTCTTAGACATTTTTATTTTTTTTTTATCTCCAAGGGTGCCTGTGGTCTTTATTTTGTTATACAGACTCAGTTTTTGCAGATGGTGGCTATCTTCTTTTCCCGATTCCAGTCAGTTTTTCTTCATGAAGCGGACAGTGTCTCTTTAAATTGTAATCTTCCCATGCTGCACATGTTTAATGATACCTGCGACTGTTCTTGGTCGGTGCACCAGTCCCTGAAGACTGAGGTTATGTGCCTGTATCTTGCCCATGTCCCCTTTTGAGTACTTGAGATATTTTCTTGTTTTTACACATTTGGCCTTGAACATGATCAGGACAGCTATATATATATATATATATATATAATGACTTATATTGGCTGCTCATTCCAATCCTCCTTTAGACAGGACCTCTGTGTGATGAGACTTGGATTGATGGTTCAAATATCTGCATGGTGAAATAGTTTGTCTCTACAAGCACATCTACTCTAATTCTGAGCTGCAAGCTAGTGTATTTTGGCTGTAAACCTGGGATAATAAGGCTTCAATCATCTATAGTTAATAAAAGGCCAGACAAAAAAAAAAGTATCCTCAGGGGTGTATACTGTCCCTGGTTTCCTGTAATATGTTGGGGAAATTTAGGGTAATTTTGTTTTCACAAATAATTTTATATGGTTTATATAGGAGAGTGATCTTGATATTAATAGTGCTTCTTCGAAAATTGCCTTAAAAACTGTATGGTAGGTACAAAAAAAATAGTGTAGGTAGGGTTACCGGAAACACAAAATATTTGTTGTTTTGCCTTATTCTCAACAGATTGTTAATTAATTATTGTTGATACCGGTAATACTTGTAGATAATTGGGGCTAATCCAGGACCATTTCAAAAGTTCATCTTACTGAAATGTCACAGCACAATAGGCTTAGCATGTTAATTGATACACCATATCAAGCCGCATTATCCTCATTCCTAATTATGCTGAACTAAACGGGACATCGAGAGACATCGTCGACTTCAAGCACAGGGGCACGCAACTGCTATTAATATTGATCTTGTTTTAGGCTTTTAGTTGCTGGGTACGTTATATCTAGTGTGAGTTGTCCCCCTTTGGAATCTACCTACATGTTTTATACTACAACTATTTAATTTCACTGCTGCTTGTGTTATTTAATTTAATATACTTTAGTAATATACTTATTATATAACTGATATTTATTTTAGATTTGAGCTCCATTATTTAAAAGATCATTACTTTTTTACAATATCATAATTATATAGCTGTTTCTATTTATGACTTCATTGTCTCTTTTTAATTCACACTATATTAGTGTATATCCTGTATTTTTTTACTTTGCTACATTAGCATATATGTACATAACACTAGTATAGTGTCTTAACTTGTCTTTTGTAACACTTGTGTGACATTCAAGTGTGATATAATATGCTCTACTGTATAATTTTAGCATATCTAATTTGAATTGTTGTCCTGTTTTTATATTTATTCATAAGTACTGTGATCCTTGTTAAATTTTATATGTTTTGTCGCAAGAATAGCACTACAGTGCTAATGTTATTATGTTACATGTATATGCGACGTTAAATAAAGCTTCTTGAATCTTGAAAGCCTAAAACAAAATTAATAGTAGTTACGTGCCCCTGTGCTTGAAGCGATAGGTGTTAGAGATGTGCACCAGTAAAGTGTTTTATATCACTGATTGAAATTAATTATAATTAACCTACTTATCGTTTCTATCTGAACTTTAAATGTCCAATCGCCATTCCCGTCTGACCTGACTGTCAATGCCGATTAGCCAGAAAAGGCGCACACTTTACAGCTGTTCACCTGCCAGCTTTACAGCTGTTTTTTTTTTAAATGTGTAAGGGAAAAGACTGATGCGTCCCGGGAGGAAAATACTACACATGTAATGGTAAATTTAGATGAGCTCCGGGATGAAGCATTTCCGGGTTATTTACACGTTATTTACGAAAAGAGATACAAATGCGGGAGATTCAAAGGGCACGCGGAAACGTAACAAGTTAAATTTCCGTGTCTATTCCACATGATGCTAATGAATCAGTATTTTTTTTAGAGTTTTAAGATAGGTGCAAATAAGATAATAAATGTTTTAACTAACCGTTGATGAGTCGGGTTACACTATTTTTAATAAAGTGGTTTTATTCTGAAACTTGATAATAGATCAAGAGTCACCCATCGGGAATTGGAACAAGTTAATATGTTGGATGTTAGGGGCAGGGTGAAACAGCTCCGTTTTAACCATGTCTTTAATATTCAACATAACAAATGTCCATCCTATATGAAAGAAAATTTTACTAGAACAGAGAAAAAACACTTTACCAGGAACAGTGATCTGAATTTCAACATTCCTTATATAAAAGGTGTGGAATCATCATCTTTTTTCTATAATGCTATCAAAGATTGGAATAACTTACCACATTCAATAAAATCTGTCGATCACAAGATGAAATTCAAAAGCGAGATAAAAAAGTACTTACAAGTTTTGGCAAAAAATGATTTTGAGCAAGAATTTGTCTTCTAAAGGTAATTTTTATTCTATCCCAGTGGGTGACTCTAAACTTCTTCTAAAAATATATGATGTATTACCAAAATTTTAACTAAAGTACCAATATAATATGTACTTTTTATAAATGTTATGGAAGATTTTATTACCATCATCCTCAGTCTTTATTTTATTAAAAGTCATTTTTATATATGTATTATACCCCAAATTGCTATAATTTGTTAGACAGATAATAGGTTGGTAGGGATTGCCCAACCACCTGTTGTCTGTTCTACACACAAGTACCACAGTATAAATGTATATGGCCTAACACCATCTTATATTGTTACTTAATATCTGCAAGAATGACATCATCTTGCATTATGATATGTACAGTGATACATATAACTGATATTTTAATATTACAAGTGGAAACAACATCATGCATAGCCCCACATATATATATTATCAGAAGGAAATCATATTTGCTAATGACAACTCCATCTTATACCGTCAAATAAAATAACATCTTATTTTGATGAAATAATATATCATCATCATATTTGACCAATTACAACTTATTCTATTCATATATATATTATTACGAGAAATTATACCATCTTATATTCATATTATAAGGTCAAATCCTTAGGACCTTTTGTTATCTAAGTAATTAAGATCTATACTAGAGGACCCCATTGGAAATAAGCTGCCACCCAGCTTTCATGGGATATCCTAGGTTAAAGCTTAGTCAAACAGATACATTGTAATTGTAGTGCTCCAAAATTTGTGATATTAACTTTGATGTGATAAGCTAAATACTGTGATAAATCTGTGATTATTATGCAATTGAAATCTGTGATCATATGTGATATTTGTACCTGTATCTTGCTTTTACCGAATAAATATTATTATTAAGGCAAAGTATATAATGCAAGGCAATCCCGGCCATCAAGTCCCCCACCGGTAATGATGTCTATATTTAACAAACAGTACACTTATGTCAGGTTGTGCCTACTGTTAGGAAAGTATCCTGATACATATTACAACATTAAAGGCTTCTTTGTAATGATAAAATTGTTTTCTTGTTGCGAACAGAAGAAATTTGCAATATGGTTTCATAAAATATCCAGAGCGCAAAGATGCTGACAGCTTTAAATTTGGGAAATGGGGGAAAAGCAGAGTGAAGGAAATTGGTTTTTAAAAGTAGGAATTAACAGGAAAAGCCTCAGACAAACTTTTTCAAACGTTAAGATCAAAGGTCAAAGCAGAGGTCATATAGTGACCAAATTCTTGCACTCTGCTCTCCGCCATCCCAAGATGTTCTTGTATCCCAAATCTAGATACGTAGTTGAAATAGTATAGAAAATGTCCCGGACAAACTTCTCTGACAGAAGGACAGAGTGCAAACCTGTATAGGAATAACATTGTAATCCAACTTATTTTGTCTTTTTCTACCTTAAAAAGGGTGGCTGTCAAAGCTCAGGGACAGCCAAGACAAAATTTCAAGGAATTCTTGTTAACAGAAGTTTGTTTCAAGTTTAAGTATATTTATTTAATGCCTTGAAAGTAGATCATCAAGGTCAATCATCAGATGAAACATATTACTCTGGACAAAGGTGAACGGGTCAAATGTCATATGGTACAAGACATTTATACATTTAAAACCCTTTTCACTCATTGTAAGTTTCAACAAAGTAGAAAGCATTTAAACTTAATCTGTCTCCTGTGTCCTTGGAAATAAGTCAAGGTCATTTGTTTGGACAAAGTTGAACAATATCATCTCAAGCTGTACAGTGTACCGTAGTGATTGTTCTTTCACTTTGATTCCTACAAGAGCTATGTTTGCTGTATTTGACTATTTCACATTTTGTAACCCTTCTTTATTGACTAGCCAGTCTCATTGAGGTCTAGCATGAACATCATGAATTCATGATTCTGTGCAGTGATACACAGTCCATGAATCATCATTGTCATTACATTTTGGTGATACTTTTCAACAAATCATCCATCACATTATAATTGTCAGTAGACCTCATTATTAAGGTCAACAAATCATCAAAGGTTGATAGTATTCCGTGATACTGTCAACATTGTCAATTGTCTGTAGTATTCAGTGATACTGTCATCATTAATTGACAATTGTCTGTTGTATTCAGTGATACTGTCAACATTAATTGTCAATTGTCTGCAGTATTCAGTGATACTGTCATCATTAATTGTCAATTGTATGAAGTATGCAGTGATACTGTCATCATTAATTGTCAATTGTCTGTAGTATTCAGTGATACTTTCATCATTAATTGTCAATTGTCTGTTGTATTCAGTAATACTGTCAACATTAATTGTCAATTGTCTGAAGTATGCAGTGATACTGTCATCATTAATTGTCAATTGTCTGTAGTATTCAGTGATACTGTCATCATTAATTGTCAATTGTCTGTAGTATTCAGTGATACTGTCATCATTAATTGTCAATTGTCTGTAGTATTCAGTGATACTGTCATCATTAATTGTCAATTGTCTGTAGTATTCAGTGATACTGTCATCATTAATTGTCAATTGTCTGTAGTATTCAGTGATACTGTCATCATTAATTGTCAATTGTCTGTAGTATTCAGTGATACTGTCATCATTAATTGTCAATTGTCTGTAGTATTCAGTGATACTGTCATCATTAATTGTCAATTGTCTGTAGTATTCAGTGATACTGTCATCATTAATTGTCAATTGTCTGTAGTATTCAGTGATACTGTCATCATTAATTGTCAATTGTCTGTAGTATTCAGTGATACTGTCATCATTAATTGTCAATTGTCTGTAGTATTCAGTGATACTGTCATCATTAATTGTCAATTGTCTGTAGTATTCAGTGATACTGTCATCATTAATTGTCAATTGTCTGTAGTATTCAGTGATACTGTCATCATTAATTGTCAATTGTCTGTAGTATTCAGTGATACTGTCATCATTAATTGTCAATTGTCTGTAGTATTCAGTGATACTGTCATCATTAATTGTCAATTGTCTGTAGTATTCAGTGATACTGTCATCATTAATTGTCAATTGTCTGTAGTATTCAGTGATACTGTCATCATTAATTGTCAATTGTCTGTAGTATTCAGTGATACTGTCATCATTAATTGTCAATTGTCTGTAGTATTCAGTGATACTGTCATCATTAATTGTCAATTGTCTGTAGTATTCAGTGATACTGTCATCATTAATTGTCAATTGTCTGTAGTATTCAGTGATACTGTCATCATTAATTGTCAATTGTCTGTAGTATTCAGTGATACTGTCATCATTAATTGTCAATTGTCTGTAGTATTCAGTGATACTGTCATCATTAATTGTCAATTGTCTGTAGTATTCAGTGATACTGTCATCATTAATTGTCAATTGTCTGTAGTATTCAGTGATACTGTCATCATTAATTGTCAATTGTCTGTAGTATTCAGTGATACTGTCATCATTAATTGTCAATTGTCTGTAGTATTCAGTGATACTGTCATCATTAATTGTCAATTGTCTGTAGTATTCAGTGATACTGTCATCATTAATTGTCAATTGTCTGTAGTATTCAGTGATACTGTCATCATTAATTGTCAATTGTCTGTAGTATTCAGTGATACTGTCATCATTAATTGTCAATTGTCTGTAGTATTCAGTGATACTGTCATCATTAATTGTCAATTGTCTGTAGTATTCAGTGATACTGTCATCATTAATTGTCAATTGTCTGTAGTATTCAGTGATACTGTCATCATTAATTGTCAATTGTCTGTAGTATTCAGTGATACTGTCATCATTAATTGTCAATTGTCTGTAGTATTCAGTGATACTGTCATCATTAATTGTCAATTGTCTGTAGTATTCAGTGATACTGTCAACATTAATTGTCAATTGTCTGTAGTATTCAGTGATACTGTCATCATTAATTGTCAATTGTCTGTAGTATTCAGTGATACTGTCAACATTAATTGTCAATTGTCTGTAGTATTCAGTGATACTGTCATTATTAATTGTCAATTTTCTGTAGTATTTAGTGATACTTTCATCATTAATTGTCTGTAGTATTTAGTGATACTTTCATCATTAAGTGTCTGTAGTATTCAGTGATACTGTCAACATTAATTGTCAATTGTCTGTAGTATTCAGTGATACTGTCATCATTAATTATCAATTGTCTGCAGTATTCAGTGATACTGTCATCATTAATTGTCAATTGTCTGTAGTATTCAGTGAGACTGTCATCATGAATTGTCAATTGTCTGCAGTATTTAACAATTAATTGTCAATTGTTTGTAGTATTCAGTGATACTGTCATCATTAATTGTCAATTGTCTGCAGTATTTAACAATTAATTGTCAATTGTTTGTAGTATTCAGTGATACTGTCATTATTAATTGTCAATTTTCTGTAGTATTTAGTGATACTTTCATCATTAATTGTCAATTGTCTGTGGTATTCAGTGATACTTTCATCATTAATTGTCAATTGCCTGTGGTATTCAGTGATACTGTCATTATTAATTGTCAATTTTCTGTAGTATTCCATGATACTGTCAACATTAATTGTCAATTGCCTGTAGTATTTAGTGATACTTTCATCATTAATTGTCAATTGTCTGTAGTATTCCATGATACTGTCAACATTAATTGTCAATTGTCTGTAGTATTTAGTGATACTGTCATCATTAATTGTCAATTGTCTGTAGTATTCAGTGATACTGTCATCATTAATTGTTAATTGTCGGCAGTATTTAGTGATACTGTCAACATTAATTGTCAATTGTCTGTAGTATTCAGTGATACTGTCATCATTAATTGTCAATTGCCTGTGGTATTCAGTGATACTTTTATCATTAATTGTCAATTTCTGTAGTATTCAGTGATACTGTCATCATTAATTGTCAATTGTCGGCAGTATTTAGTGATACTGTCAACATTAATTGTCAATTGTCTGCAGTATTTAGTAATACTGTCATCATTAATTGTCAATTGTCTGTAGTATTCAGTGATACTGTCAACATTAATTGTCAATTGTCTGTAGTATTCAGTGATACCGTCATCATTAATTGTCAATTGCCTGTAGTATTTAGTGATACTGTCAACATTAATTGTCAATTGTCTGTAGTATTCTGAGATAATGTCAAAATTAATTGTCAATTGTCTGTAGTATTCAGTGAGACTGTCAACATTAATTGTCAATTGTCTGTAGTATTTAGTGATACTGTCATCATTAATTGTCAATTGTCGGCAGTATTTAGTGACACTGTCAACATTAATTGTCAATTGTCGGCAGGATTTAGTGATACTGTCAACATTAATTGTCAATTCTCGGCAGTATTTAGTGATACTGTCAACATTAATTGTCTGTAGTATTCAGTGATACTGTCCTTATTAATTGTCAATTTTCTGTAGTATTTAGTGATACTTTCATCATTGATTGTCTGTAGTATTTAGTGATACTTTCATCATTAATTGTCAATTGTCTGTAGTATTTAGTGATACTGTCATCATTAATTGTCAATTGTCGGCAGTATTTAGTGACACTGTCAACATTAATTGTCAATTGTCGGCAGTATTTAGTGACACTGTCAACATTAATTGTCAATTGTCGGCAGTATTTAGTGATACTGTCGACATTAATTGTCAATTGTCTGCAGTATTTAGTAATACTGTCATCATCAATTGTCAATTGTCTGTAGTATTCAGTGATACTTTCATCATTAATTGTCAATTGTCTGTTGTATTCAGTGATACTGTCAACATTAATTGTTAATTGTCTGTAGTATTCAGTGATACTGTCATTATTATTTGTCAATTTTCTGTAGTATTTAGTGATACTTTCATCATTGATTGTCTGTAGTATTTAGTGATACTTTCATCATTGATTGTCTGTAGTATTTAGTGATACTTTCATCATTGATTGTCTGTAGTATTTAGTGATACTTTCATCATTGATTGTCTGTAGTATTTAGTGATACTTTCATCATTAATTGTCAATTGTCTGTTGTATTCAGTGATACTGTCATCATTAATTGTCAATTGTCGGCAGTATTTAGTGACACTGTCAACATTAATTGTCAATTGTCGGCAGGATTTAGTGATACTGTCAACATTAATTGTCAATTGTCTGTAGTATTCAGTGATACTGTCAACATTGTCAATTTCTGTAGTATTCAGTGATACTGTCAATAAATCATAGACAATGGTCACTATATTTCAGTGATACTGTTTACAAATCATCAATGGTCTGTAGAGTTAGTTGATACGTCATCAAATCATAAATCTCATTTTTAATGAATTTACTGATCAGTTGGTTTCAGAGATACTGCCATCAAATCATCCCACGGCACGATTTTCAGTAGAACTTAACACCATTTTTTTTACATCTATCTGAGAGATGTGGAACTATAAATATTAGTAAAGTGAACAACTTAACGAACTCAATTCACACATCAGCTGATCACGCAAGGTTGTATCAACGCAAAATGTTGTAAATATAAAACAAAAAAGATAAAAGTATTATGACATTTCATTATTTTAATGGCCAAATTTCAGAAAATACAGATATGACTTTATACAATAAACATGGCCGATGTATATAATAGTACAAAGGCATGCACTTCTTAAGCACTTTCTTGTCCTTGGGAATACATCAATATATGCATCACCACAACCAGTATGTAAACTTAATACCAGATACTTATCTTGGACTTTCACCATCTAGCTTCCCCTGGTAAACAGGCTGAAAACTTTCTGAACAATGCTTAAAAAAAGTTTGAAACCTACGATAAGTTTCTTATTCCCTGGTCTTGAAATTTCGGTGCAATTACATATACCAGGTACTAATAATCTGCTTTTGACCAAACAATACTCCAAATCTAAACATGAAATTATTTAGGACTGAATTGAGATTTTGTAATAAACATCCACTAGAAGATTCAATAATGATTTACACTATCTTTGAGCTCCCAAAATCTATCCTTGTTCATATGCCTGTCCAAGAAGATAATTATTATGTATTTCAATAAATTGAGAAAATATTGTATTCAAACTTTCCTTTCAAAAACCAAAACTGAAGTTTGTATTATGCATAAATGCAATGGCAATATTCAATAAGCTAAAATTAAATCTAACAAAAATATTTGAACAAATTTTCCTTAATATTTCCACAAGATTTTTTTTAAAAGCTAGTTGATCAATTCAAATGTATAGATGACCTCATTTTAATGCATGCCAATTTGCACTGTGTAAAAGAATACTTTGTGACATACTTAAATACATGTATAGAGGTACATTCTGCATCGACTTACTCTCGATAACTTCAGCTCCTGTTACCTGGAGTTCTCATAATAAGAATATGACAAGTTACCATGACAACGACCCTAATACAAGTGAGCAGAGTAAATAGAGTTTATCCGACGTAGACAAGATAATTGCTGATTTAAATATGATAACCAAAGAGGGTGTAATATGTTTTCAATGTATAATAAACATCTACTGATTGGATTAATAGATCTACACTTACTATATATACCAGCCATAGCAAAGATTGCTATTTATTAAGATTCTCACATGAAAACTTGAGCTTTGAATCACTGAATAAATTTTCCATAATGAGAAGTTATTAGTTAAATAACTTTATCAACTTAATCTTAATCTTAACGAAACAAGTTGCAAATGTGTTTTGAATGCCTTGTAAAAAGTAACTCGACGCTCCACAACCTTTCTTATTTTGAGCTGTTCTGAAAGAATTATACACAATCAAAGAGACAGTGTCCTGAAAATGCATTAAGTAAGCTTATTACTTTAATATGTAGTAAAGTGTGGTCTTAAACTACCATATATTTTCCACAATATGTTTAATTTTTGTTGTTTTGTTTTGTCAATTTCCACCGACATCAAAATAACATATAAGGTCTCCTTCATATGGATCAATGAAGCCTTGCTAATAAAATTCACTGTCACAGAGATCCGGACGATTATCTGCGTTCTTGATGTTCAGGTCATCAATTGTGGGATTGATACCTCTCTGATATTCTTTCTGTAATCTTCCCCTACTTAACATGACCAATTGTCTACCATGTACTACACACATTATCATGATTCTCAAGTCTGCCTAATAGGTTCTATTCCACCCCTGGTCAATATTGTTTTTACATTTCCTGATCACATGACCTAAATTGTCACTCAAACCTCATCATGTAATAGTCATCAATAAAACGTCTGTTAGGAAGACAGTTTTGGCCTCTGTCTCTCAAGGATTGCAATGGTCTGACCTATGATCTCTAGTTGGCGATATTGACCTTTTGAGATGTGGGCCGGAAAGTACTGTCAAGTCACGATACATCTGCCCATTACATTTCATAAAATCAATCTTCCAGAAGTTGAGACAGCAGGGACACATATGGTGCAATACTAGTCTACTGGTATGTTGCACTATAGGATTTATAAAAACATGCAAAAAAAAAAAAAAGATTTTCAAAACCAAATGTCCATTTTTGAATGTTATTTTGTGTGAAATTATCAAATGTATTAGAGTTGCACATTTCTGACAGCAACACAAACATTTTCAATCGTTAAAATTTCTGACGTGTACTCTCAACATAGTTGACAGCATTATATATGCATAACAAAGACAGATAATTCTGATCAAAGGTGGACAAATGAAGCTGTCAAATGTTTTGTTGCAGAATAAATGTTATCTCCACAACAACTTTGACAACTATTCGAACATCATGTTACCAGTACAGCAGAAGTCAACAAAAACTTTCAAATCAGTGGGTTTTTCAGATGAAGAACAAGCTTATAAGTGATTCAGATAATGTAGGTTCAAAGACAATGAGATGCTTGCTTCTGTACAAGGTGCTTTAATAATTAGAGACAGTAATTAACGGTACAATACATCTGTAACACAGCACAGATATCGTCACTGACAGGCGACAGTGGTTGATGTTTAATAGTAGTTGTTTACATTGTAATTTTGCAGATGATTAACTGGTTATATGTATTAAGTGACCGGAGGACAAGTTATATATAACATTGATTACACGAGAGAATATCCTGGCCGACTTATTTGAGTACTTGTCCCGTCATGTGCTCTACTGTACTGAATTCATTTTGATATTGACTGTCAACTGCCCCTTCCACTCAGTGGACCTCTTCAGTTATCTTGTTTCCTGAACCAATTTGTTTTCTTTTAGTAGATATTTTCATAACTTAATGCTGATGAGCCAACACCCAGTAACAAAAATATTGTACTAGTGTTTTTTGTTCATATACCTCCTTTATCCATCAATTACATATCAATTCAAGGGCACCATTTAGAATGAAAAACAACTTAATTATTAACATTAATGACAATATACTGGTACAATATGAAATAGCAACAGCTAATACTGACTGGATGGTGTTAAATACAACACCATTCCAGAATATCTCAATGGAAAAATTATTGCAAATGAAAATATATTGTATTTGTTTTTAAAGCAAATTCAAGCTGTCATCATAAATTATTCAACATAAATATTGATAGTCAGTGATAAATCAAACAGTAAATGAGGTATTAGTAGGACTAATAAATTCTAATGCATATTGTACTGAAACCTGTCAAGATGGTTTATAATAACAGAGAGCCATACTTTACATTTTGTATGTGCACAAGGATGCCTTTGGCAAACAGACAGCTGGCCACTTCAGAAATGTTACTATTATACCTTTAATCTGTTACAAAGCAGGAGAGCAAAATAACAGTAAAAACATAACATAAACATAGTTGTTTATATTTAGTTACCTAAATGCTATCATATTATCCTTAGCATGATTAAAAGAATTTTACTTTTCATTTAAACAAATTCTTGAACACTTCATGGTTTACCAAAGAAAAAAACCTTGGTGAATTTAGATGCGTACCCTTCATGTAAATACCAAAAGGAACCCTAGGTTTAGTTAATAGATGAGATTCAATTATTTGCATAACTGCTACCTTTTCCAAGAAACCCTTTTTTTCTAGACAACTTGTTTTACGCGACACTGGGTCAAAGGAATTGTTTAAGACTCCTTTTGCCATTTTATTAGCAAATATCGAGGGCGGGGGTGGGGGTGGGGTTAAAGTTTTATCGTCAACCCCTAAAAGACATTTAATTTCAAATAGATTTTGTAGTACATTTATTGTTAACCATCCAATTTATTGACTGTTGTGTCCTTCACCTAACCAAGTATCAGACAGAAAGGTTTGTTCCTGAATACTAACGTTTTTTCTAACACTAAACACAACATCATCTGGATCATTTCTGGGTTTACATGTTTCCTTTGGAGGCCGTCATCAGTTCATCAAAACAATGACAGAATTTAAAAATAAACAGCCGCTATGTCACATGACATTTAATACACAGCATATATTTTCTAACACTTCTTTTCTGTTATTGAAAGATGTCAAATTTAACACAAGTAGTACAGATACCTCGTGTTATGTAGACTAAATGGGTTTTGATACAATTGCCGACATTCTTACAAGTAGGTAAAATTGAGAAACAGATGACTATTAACCCTCTCAACACTGTAGACCATAATAGACTCATCCAGATTCATTTATGGTAAAGGTTATTAAAGTTACATAGGAGTGAAAGGGTTATTAAAGAAATAAAGCGGTTTTGACATTTGAATTCTCAAGTGTCAAGTTATACATAATTACATACTGGCTAAACACTTCATTATCAAAAAAAAATATTTTCAAGATCATTTTTCAAACAATAATACTTGTGAAGATTTTTAATCAAAAATGCCAAGTAGACAACAGCTATGAGTGTTGTTTATTGAAATAAATATTTGTGAGATGTTTTAATTCATGATCAAAGCATATTCAACGCAAAATAGATATGTCAGTAAATAGAAGATATTTGCAGTGTTTTTCACATCTACCCATACTGCAGTTCTACCAATCAACATTGGATACATTTACAATGAGGAAACTGGTCAGGTTTATTTATATGTGTACCCTTTATTCACGGACCTGCACCTTTTTTCATGGTGGGAATTAAAAAACATTAATATAACATTTTAAATGCATTTATCCACCCTAAATATTAAAAATAAGATGGATATCTCCTTAATATTTTTTAACAAATGGTGTTCCTCAAATTGTAGTTAACTGTTTTAACATTCATACTGAGAAAATATCATATGAAAGTGGGAAAAAATGCAACTTAAATTCTCCAAGAGAAAGAGCCTATCACAGTCTCTTAATATACAAGAAACAGATCAATGAGACTTTCCCTAAAGTAAAACAATATTGCAATGCTCCTTGTACAACAATAAGCAATTCAAATTATTTCAGAATAGTTTGACATTTTAATTTTTAATGAAATACTGTTAATGGTATTTTAGTGGTAAATCATTGTTTCAATTCAAGATATTTAAACATAACATTTTTCCCTTTAATTTTGGTCAATCAATTACTTGTAAATAGACCTGATCTGAGCAAAACTTACCATATTCAAACCATTGTATGTAGACCAGTAATTCAAATGTTTAAAGAATAAAGACAATTCTTGAATGATAATTGTTACACAGGTTTGAAGCTCTACGACAGAATCTAACATGACCAACTAAACATTTGTATGAAAGACGAATAATTTGAACTGATGCCCAACTCCGGTCGACATGTCTCTGTCTGAGCTTCATCACGGTCTTTAAATCACCAGGTGTTCCATTCCACAAACTTCTCAGGGACTTATTCTGCTTTGCATTGACGAATATTTGAATGTTCGGTCCTCAGTCTGACTCGGACCTGACTGTTAGGGATGATGATGTACAGCTTTCTGATGAAACTACAATAAAGGGCAAATAATATTTTGTTTTCAAATATATAATATAAACTTTACTAAAACAATTATGAAACAATCATTTCAACTTTAATATATTAATCACTCTTTTTGGCCTGGACATTAGCATGCAGTGGACCTTAATGTGGGAGGAAACTGGAGTACCCGGAGAAAACCCAAGTGGTCAGGCAGGTTACCCCCATACCTATTCACGTATGATCGGGGAATCAAACCCCAGCCACTTGGTGAAATGCAAGTGCGTTATCCTCTGCACAACTCGTACACCCATATATTATTTTAAAGACAGTCTATATGACCAATCAAACACTGTACAACACTTACAGAGCAGAATAACTTGTAAATATTTTTATCATTTAATAATTTGATTATACGTTTTATGTAAACAGGAGTACTGCAGTGCGGAATAATATGGTATTATACACCCATCTTTACCTCCAGATGAAAGATTCTGCACCACAGTATTAGCTCACTTGCTTTTTAGGCAAGCTAACAATGTTTGTGAGAGAGTAATGCCCTGTAGTTTTTCTGTCCCCACTTCTACCGGCTTGGGCACAAAAACTTACCATCAGTTTCAGGATCTAACACACTGCTATCCGACTCTTCTCTCTTCGTATTACAGGGTGCTGTTGATGACTCGTCTGAAGACCTGGAAACCAGCAGGCGAAACACAGTGATACATGTAACACACCTTTGTACAAACTGATATCTATCTGATATTAAATTGATAGCAAATCAAAGTTGAATATGTATCAACTAAACCTCATTTTTTATATCATAGTAAGCAGTTATGTAAAGAAAGTATAACCAACATTCCGACAACACTCATTTATCAACATAATCATTATAAACAAGTATGTTTGCTTGAAGACTAGCTCAGCTCAATGTTCTGCATTTTCTATTTTGTTAATGGATTAAACCTAGACCAGAATAAGTCTCCTAGTGTAGCAGGGATTAATGTCCCAATCAACTTAACCCTTTAAACCCTGTGTAACTTCAGTAAGGTCTACCAGGCATTGATCTGGGTGTGTCCATAATGGTGTATATTGGTGAAAGGGTCAACACTGATCAACACATCTAAATTCTTTCTAACACATCAGTTGTTTTGACTTTCCATACTTTTTTCACAAGAGTGACATGGTCCCTTTAACAGGGTGCAACTTGGGTAAGTGATCAAGGCCCCTACTAGATCCATGGTCTTATACATTTCTATTTTTAGCAACAGTGACCATGACCTTAGACTAATCACACACAGGGTATGTCAAAGGTATAAAACATACACTGTCAAAGTTACAACAAAAACTGCAACGATACATGTGGGGACCTATCAGAAATAGCAGGATTAAACAATGAAGGTGTTGTTTGTTATGAGACATACCTTGCTTTTTTGCAACTTGACTCCTCTGTGGCGGAGTCTGAGTCAGCTTTGCGTTTCTCTGTTCCCTTGATGTCCTTTACTTGTTCCTCCCGCATTCTGAGCTGCTGTATTCGCCAGTCCACAGCTCGCAAAATGTTCTCACAGTCCTTGGGACTTGTCTATCAGGGGTCAAAAACAATAAGATCATCTCCGACCCAACTCTCATGATCAAACTTATCTCTGACCCAACTTTCATATTCAAAATAATCTCCAACCCATCTCCCATGATCAAAATCACAAATAGCCCAACTATCATGAACAAAATCATATATAACCCAACTCTCATGAACAAGGTCATATATAACCCAACTCTCATGAACAAATTTATCTCTGACCCATTTCTATACTTAGATTTATTCGGATAGAGATAAGATATCTATCAAAACTACCCATTCAACAATCAGGAAATCACAGATTAAACACTGTGAATCCAGGGTTTGCACAGAATCTTACTATGAAATTCAAGGGTTTTTTTAGGGCTTTTTAAGTAAAATTTTCAGTAGCCATTTGCTAATTCTCAAAATACAGAAATCTGGATGTGTAGTCTGGATGTCTCTAAACTCACCATATAAAACAGCCTGAAAATCTAACTTTAATTTCGGGGTTTTTAGGGTCTTTATATCAATCGTAGGGCTTTTGAAGGCCAACCCTATGTTTTTTAGCCTTTTCAAGGCCTGTATGAAACCTGAAAACTGCCTGGTAACTTACGATAATGAGGAACACTCTGACTCCATCCTCCCCATCAGTGGCAGTGATCCTGAGACTTTTCTGACTGGCTCTCTCGATAGTCATGGCGGGCCAGATCTTGGTGTTGAGTATTACCCTTAGACTACCTTGTGTCCTCATCACTGTGTCAAAATAAAATAGGCACTGTTACAATAGACTGAAATAACTGAATAAGTTGTATGCTGGACGATTATATCTAACAGTTATTAACCACTGCATGCCCTGTATATTAGAGAGATTCTTGTCTGTATTTAGGAAACCTGTTGCAACTATAAAAGATACTGCATAAAATCTATGCAAGGGAAAGTATGATATGAAATATTGAACCTGTTACACTTAGTATAATTTCTTCTTAAATTACATCACTTTCGTTTTCTTACCGGTAAATACAATTCCATACCTTAAAATTTCATGACAATAGCTTGAAATGAAAACAAGATATCCTGGAGAATAAGCCCAGAATTACAACTATAAAGGCATATATCCTGCATCTATGCCTTTGGCAAGATTTTATATTATTCAAATAATGTTTTTATACTCCTATCTTTTCATAATTCTATAGTAATTTATTTTTACATTTTGATCCACAAGTTTTCGACTACAAATTTAAAATACCACTTTAACAAGAGTAAAGGTTAATGGATAAGAAAGTGAACAAACCAAGTCGTGACTGGAACTCTGATGACACTTGTGACCTCTGATCATTTATTCGCAGTAAACCTCTTCCCCGTTCTATCCAACTTTGATTGTGGCCATCAAATACAAACAGTTTCCCGGTGGACTGCAAGTACAAGGTGTCTGGTGATCAACTTAAAGCTTACATGTGATGTGATAAGCATCCTAAGCAACAAACAAATTAGAAATTGTATTATTTTTCCTTCATATGATTTGTTTATTGTACTCGCCATATTGAAGTTCAATCAAGTATGTCAACTTTTTAAAGTCATCAAAATCAGTAGTATGGCATTAAACCTAACCTTTAAATAAACTGGTGTGTCATTTCTAAGGAGTGTTTTTAAATTTAAATCTCAAAAAGGTGATACTTTTAAACTTTTTTAATCTTGGGATAAGCAATGCGAATGCATGGGATAACAAAATATACTACAATTGAGTTCACTTTCAGGTTAACCTGTTCATGCACATAGCATTAGAATTATTTCCCAAGACAGGTAGCACTATTTCCTCCGGAATAATCATCTAAGCATAAGAGTTTTAAAATAATTTACTGTTTGCCAAAAATAAAATCAATATTTGCTCGGTGTTGATTTCACATCTCACATTTATTTACATGCATTATTTTGTTCACAAATATTCACCGTTATGATAAATTCACCCTCATTAAGGAGGGCAAAAAAGGCAAAAAATTGAAATGCGACCAAAATATCCCCGTATACAGTATAACCAGAAAAGAATGTCACCAGAGTTCTGAATTAAACACTCTTCTGTCATGTATATATGACATCAACTGATCTACCTGTAAAACATTAGACTCGTCCTCCTCTCCAGTTTTTACTTCCACCTCTTTGTACTCTGGCCGTCGATCATGCTTTGCTTGGAATTCACGCGCAGACTCTTCCAATGTTCTAGCTTTTTCTGAAATTGTACAGGTAAACAGGAGTACAGCAAAGGTACACAATATTCTCATTTAGTATTGAACCTGATTTTTATAACCATATTTCAGTCAGCTCTCTCCAAAACAGGGATAGCCACGTTTTATACAGGATTACTTCTCTATTAACAGCCAAGGTTCCAATGTGAAACTCACTACCATCCCAAAAATTTGACATATACCAGGATATAATTTGTTGAGCTATTTGACACACATGTATTTCTCTGAACAAAATCATGTAAATAAAACTTCAAAAACATCAGCAGGGCCAATCTTAAAAGTAATTTCAGCCCAGTGACCTTGAACTTTGACCTTGACATTTGCAGCTTTTTAACTTGTTCTTTAGGTCTTGGTGAACAACTGCAGTAGTTTACATTACATTCATTATTTTGACAGATACTGATGTCTACAGATGTCTGATTTGAGGTACAACTAGATTTAACACGAAGTGTGTGCTTCATAGATACTCACTCTCCCTTCATATCTTACTATATGAATAGTGTTAAGTATTTGAGGTCAACGTCAAAAAGTTGGACGCTGACCTCATTAACCTCATTCCAATGCACCACACTATGACCACCTGACCTTCCTATCAAGTATGTATACTGAATGCATGCTGAAGGCTTAAGTGTGGATATCTCTGTCTAATGGTGGAGAAATCAAAATCTTTAATGTTTCATAAATTAAAGTTTGGCAGTTTAGATGTTCAACTTTGGACGAAGGTACATGGCGGACATACAAAACGATGACTATTATTTATATACATGTTGTTACCTTCTTACCTAAACCTGTAGATTTTGATAATTCAGATTCGTCATCCGAGTCTAACTGGTTTCTTTCATTTTTTTTATCTGCACCATCTGTTTTTACTACACGCTCTGCCAAATTTGTTCCAAAAACAAATCCACCGTCAGACGTAGGCGAGGTTTTGTTACCAGGTGATGTTTGTACACCCTGAAATTTAAGTAAATCTTCTGTCAATCATTTCGAAATGCAAGAAAAGGGATCAACATGTTATATAACCTATCTGTGGTGTCAACGTACAGATAGAAAAGTTTTTTGTCCTAAACATTTCTTCAGGTTGTTAAGTATTGATTGTAAACAAGTTAAAATAGCACAACTAGTGAAATGATTATGTGTGATGTTTCAATGACTAGTATGGTACGTCCCTGCCACTTTCATCAGACATAGGACCAGTAAAGCAGAGGTACACAAATGTGTAAAGTATGCAATGAATATGCAATAAAATGAAGATAACACTTTGATGACAGTTCAGAACCATTTATAATTTTAAGCTTGTAATCAGATCACTGTGATGATTGTTCGGACGTTTCAAGTTTGAAATTACAACATGCAATGAAAGTTTTAAAACAAATACAAACTGTCACACGGTCCGTGAGGTTTTGACCAAATATAAACTCAGGGGCGGCAGCGGCGGCGGCCGCACCACCACCACCAGCATCTGTTGTGGAATCTGATAATCTGAAAACAAGGTGAAAGTTTTATAAATTAGTTCACATAGTACAACAATATTGTCCTGTCACGATGCCCTTTCACTACCATGACTATGACTCTACTTAAGCCAACAAACATATAAGGCACAGAGCAGTAAAATGCTGCTCCTACCAAGGCCTTCAAATTAACAACTTCTGTTCATGGTTGGGTTTCCTGCTTTAGGACTTCTATGCAAATTATGAATTAAATTCTATTGCTTGTACCCTTGAACGCTTTACAAGAGCTACCTCCCCTTGACCGGAATCCTCCCCTTGACCAGTATCACTACACCAGGTGACACAATTTAACACTTTGCCAATATTTTAACAAACAAAAAAAACACCAATGAGGCAAGTGTGGTACCTGTATAATTTATTATGGTATGGTGGTGGCTTTAAAACCAGATATTCCTACAGTTCTTGTTTAATAGATGCATGGGCCAATCAGTGGTGGATATAATGCAATTAAACATAATGTAGTTAATGGTTCTTGATATGCATACTTTTCATTCCCTGTCAGGGCAGTCGCAAAATAGTTTTCTGCTGTGGGACCAGGTAGACCTGAGCTGTTGATTGGCGGATCACCTGACCCGTTGTTATGGTTATCCTCCCTATCCAACGTATCCTGGTTCTCCTTCTCCTTTGAGTCTAAATCATCAACAGAAAGTTATGCAAGTTTACTAATAGAAACATATCTTCTTGTAAATAGTGATTACATAATTCTAACTTTAAGGAAATTAATTTTCGGCTTAAAACAATTGAAGCATATATGGGATGTGGGATGGGACAGCACTTTTAGAACTGAGTAGTCACCTAGATGCACTTTGGGGTTTTGGGGATTTTCAATAATCACAAGCAAGGACATATTTTTCTTCAGATACATACTACCAATCCACAGCATCTAAATGTTCTTCAAATATCTGAGGTCAGAATCATGTGAACTTTGCCTCCAGTAAATCATTGAAATTCATTAAAGAATTCTCTATGTTGAAAACAGCTATCCTACTGCCTGGTTAAATTTAAGGTTGAATTTAAACTCATATCATGTTGTAGATACTTGACCAGCAAAGAGTAATGTAGTTCATCTGTGAGAACAAACTCAATAGACTTTCACTTCAGCCAAATGTTTGCTAAATATCGTGAGTCTAGGCATTATTGTATTTTAGAAATCATTGTAGAAAAAGTTTGGCAACAGATGGGCGATGGAAGGTGTAACATGGCACAATACAAGCGCTTCTAGGCAGGCGAGACTATAAAGTAAGGAAACTTGTTAAGTCTAATAGGTCTTCAAGGGCATAACAAAAACTGAAATGGCAATTGTGCTGTGTAGACTTCAACATTGCTAACATTCTTACCTTTCTCGTCCTTCTGTTTCATACTCTGGACTTGGACAGCAAGGGGTGAGGGCCGCAGTAGACACTTGGAGGGACTAGGCATGGTGTCAGCTTTATTTAATATACCTAATTAAACATACATTGGAATCATTCTATCAATAAAAGAACCATATGTTTAATAAAGTTTAACAATAAACTATACATAGAATTAGAAGTCTTCCTTCTCCGTGCTTCATAATGTATATTATCTAATACACAGCAACAGCATCAATCTAGGTTTTAGGGGAAAATTACCCTTTTTCAGATTTGGGGGAAATTAAAATTTTGATTCAAGGCTCTAGCGTCATGAAGGTAAAAGATAAATGTATTGTCCGACATACCTGTGTGCAGCATATTTCAATTTCTGAACAATTGTAGAATTTTTGTTTAAATTAAGTGGAGAAAATGTATATGCAGTATTATGCATTTTAACAGTTGAACTTTTAAGAAAACATAAAAAGTGGAAATATTTTGCAGAAAAAACGGCCGTTTTCTTGTTGAAATAGGGGAATCTTAAAGCATACAGGGGGAATTTCAAAGAACAGGGGAATTTTGTTCTGTAGGGGAAACTACCCATAAACGGTAGTGAATCAAATATAGATTGGCCTGGAAGGGCTTAGCCTAAAAGCTTGGACATTGAGTGACTATTGTTTTTTATTTTGTTATGTCCCTGTAGGAACTGTGTGATAGACATTTATCTGATATGCAAATTAAAGTACAAATCCAAATACCTAGCTATATTGCAGCGTGGGTTGTGACATATAGATAAATTAGCTTTTACAAAATAATATGCTAAACACACAGCTAAAAATAACCAACATACTGCTGTTACTGAAAGGCAAAAGTAGCTACAATCTGATTAAAATTATTTGTTACATGGCTCCGCCTGAACACTAGTACAAAGTAAACGAAGCCATGTAACATATGATTTTCATCAGATTGAAGTAGCTAAAACTTAAACAATTTCATTTTGTAAGGAAATCAAACATGACATTCAGTACTGTAGTTTAAGGATGTTATGATGTGCAGTAAAAAGGGACTTGTTGAAGAGTTGGTTGATTCACACCTTATCACAGGGTTAAGGACCAGGATATGTATATTTAAAAGGATTTCAAAGGATGTTGCTATGATTTCACTACAAAAGCAGCTGAACTATGGAAGTGATGCTGTTGATGATAATCTGTATATAACCCACACAGTAACATTATCGTGAACAGGAATCCTACAGACTGCCATTACATATTGGTATTAACATAGAAGGCTGCTTAATTTAATCTTAGTATCAACAAAAACATGAAATCCACATGCTTCCAGTTCCTAGAATATGACTGTTCATAAACATTCAAGTTGTATTATTTGACTTTGACTTAACACTTGCTTGGCAGATTTTATTCTTTCATGCAAATTTCCCACACACACAAATGAACAGCAAACATCAACAGATGCGGTTTTAAAGTATCAAGAGGAATAAAACAATAAATTAAAGCAAAGTGTCGCAAAACCTGGTAATCCCTTACCTAGTCTGGATGGTAACAGTATGGAAGACTTGTGACCAGGGCTACCTCTGTCTTCTGAAACACCAAATATATCTCAAGAGTTTAAACACAATTAGATATATGACAGCATTTTTTAACCTACAATTGTATTCTGTTTCTTAAATATGTTGATGTATTTAAAAACTAATTTTGTTAAATCAATATCAAAGAAGAATGCACCCCTTGATAAAGATTTAGATCTACTTGGATAGTTAACATGGTCTTGACAGATCTGTAACAAAAATCCTACACATTTACCAAATAATACTTTTTTTTTTTAGATAAATGAAAAAACACTCCATCCTGCACAAACCTACATCAGTCGTGAATTTGGGGAGTCATATAGTCTTACCGTCTGAATCTGGGTCTCCTGAAGCTGCACCTGGTTGACTAAATTTACTGGGGGCTAAATGGACTGGAAGGAGAAGATAAACAAGTTGTCAATGACAATACATGTATCAATAATTTTTATTTTTTATTTTTCAAATATTTACATTAGTATACAATACTGGTATCAATAAATTTACTTGTTCGGCAATTTAAGCATAACTTTGAAAAAAAACTTGCATTGAGATTGCTTTCCAGTATATAAATGACACTTTTGAACTGAAGGAGAGGCAGACTTACAGGACCTGAATTGTATACCAGTTATAGATATTGTAAAAGATAAGAGTTTTACAAACAGGTCAGCCATATGTTATTTCAAAGACAGACATTAAAGAGAAGAAAACATGTAAGTCAAACCTTTGATGGTGGGGACTTCAACTGTACCTGATGGTGCGAAGTGGTGGTGATGTGAGGCAGTAGAAACAATGTCTGTCTTCAAAGCAGGTCGAGGTGCAAATGGATTTTGAGGGGTTGCTGCAGCATACATGTATAAAGACAACATTTAACTAAAATCTAACACCATCAACTGTATAATATATATATTTACATGTACATTTTCTGTGCAAGGATCTTATCACCATAGGTTAACATTTCTCCCTTCATGATGAACTGTTTATAACTGTAAGTGACACTTTTTGGCCAGCACCATTAATATTTCATATATGTATTGTACATCTAACTCTCAACAATATGGCAGAGCTATTTTCTCTGCAGACAATTCATTAATGTGAAATGCTTTGTCAACTTTGTATCAATGATTTCATCTTTCAGATTTAATTGTTATTTGAGTTTTGATATATGAGTCAAGGGAGGGGCAGACTTTTATGTAGGATTTCTTTTTACTACAAGCACAAATCCAGTTCTTTTCTATTCCTGATCAGGAGTTACAAGTACGTTATTTAAAGATAAGAGCAGTATTAAAATTGGCTCAAGTCTCAGATAACATGATAATCTCAGTTCTATGCTATACAGAATGATGCTTACTTGACCAGGCTTTTGTAGAGTCGTCCACCCCAGATGACTGCAATGACAAAATCAATATATCTGGATTATACTTAACAACAGCAAATAGCCATCCAATTAAATTAGTTGTTGGTTTACTACCCAAAATTTATTCAAATGATTGGTTGTTTTAGGAACGCCATTCAAATCCCTTCATAATCTATATAGCCAGACATTTAGATTATTATCATTTGATTTTTTAACAATTATCAAGTAATTAAAAAAGTTTTTTCTTATAGAATTTAAATATGGGACTGTTAACAACATTTATTTTGAAAAATTAAATTGAACTTTTGCCTGGGACAAGATAGTGTGCAAACCAAGAACTAAAGGATTCTGTGTTTAGAATATTACAACTTGTTCATGAGCGGTATATATATCATATCTAGTGCACAGGTACTAGCCTTGTCTGTCACATCTTATATAATATAATCAACCTTGATTGTATAATATTACATGTGTACTGACAGATGAGGCTAGTACCTGAATGATTATCCGATTTATTAATTGATACAGTTGTCGTGTATGTATACCTGCTCTGTATGTTTTATCTCTCCACTCTCTTCTTCTACAGTGTTATCTTCTGGTGGGTCTCCTGAAGACTCTGATACAGAAAATACACTAGTACAAATTAAATCATTTAATATAGTAATTACTTTGCCAACTGATGAATTAATTAACCTTTTTTTCCCAACCTACACATAGCTTTCACATGTATAAAATGGGTTATAAAACAAAATGATCAGCATTTTCAACAGGCAATGTTCACAACCGAAACATTGATCAATTAAAAACTGTTTTTGTCTACTGGAAGGAAATTTAATAAGAATTTCTTTTCCATATTTAGACTTTATAAGAATCATTTATAGAGTTGAGAACTGGTTATATGCTAGTACCTCAAAATCATTGAAATGCTGAAGCTGCTGAAAGTCATTCCAGCTTATATTTAACCTCTCTCATTATATTAGCAAATATATAGATTTTAAGGGTAATGATGACAGATTAACTGTTATAAACTGAGCCCTGGCATCTGGTGTTTGACCCATTTCAGATACAAAATTAATATCGTAAACATGCATGCACTGCCAAAACTGATCAGATGTCATGCAAACTTATCACTTTTGAATAGCTATAACAGCTGCTATTTGTTATGAGGAGTTGACGAGAAATGACAGGAGCGCATGATCAGCTTACTTTGAAATGAAAATATGTGGAAATGCTGGTCCTCCATTGAAATGGTTTGAATCAAGTTCATACATGGAATGCCATTTTTGTAACGAAAACAACATATATTTTATTGACAGAATGGTCTCCCATTATATCTGAATCTCTAATATAGGCCTATACAGTGGTATGCCAGTATATGCTTCAGCAGGACAGCAGTCATAGCCCAAACCACACCACTCCTGTTTTTACTTCAACGCAAAATATTATCACCAACATATTCAGATTATTTAATCTAGTTTCCGGTAACGAATATATCCTGGTATTCATCAATTACTAAATGCATTACTTGAACGTTGCCTTTTTTTTATTATCAAATACCACAGGTCTAACAACACCACATTCGAATCCAGTAGTCAGTAGAATGTCAGATGAACTATTTTTGACCAGTGTTGTCACATATCACTTTAACCGCTTATTTCGGAGGAGGTACGCGAAAACAAATTTATTACTAACTAACTTGTAAAACAAGAAATTGTTTTAAAACCTTCTACAAAACCGTACACTAGGACGGTTTTGACATTGATCGAAAATAAACACAAACATCCATTTAATTTAGCAGATCCACCGAGAACAACCCTGAGCCGGTAGTGGTTCAGTTCGATCTTGTATATTCTACATGCATACCTAGAGACAAATAGAATTATTTGTTGTGACAAATGGTTTCTATATTATATATTTGCACTGCCAGTGAGGTAGACATAAATACTTATCATTTAAAATCTTAGAAACAAAGTTTACACTTTCGCGCTCACCTGTGTAAACATCCGCCATATTGGATTTTGGTCCAGTGGTCACGTGACTTGTCTTACTTTCGTATTTTCCAGCTTCACGCGGTCCTATCCAGAATGGAACTTAGTACAAGTGGTCCCATCGGCCTATTACCCTACTAATCTTATTCCTTTCTTAACCAATACTCGCTGTTTTGCTAACAAACGTGTTATTCATGTTTTTATCTAACTTAATTAAAAACAATACAGACAGGTCTGCTTCCAAAAAAAACATGATAAAATATTTTGAGCTGGTATAGGTCCTAGACGAACCACTACCTTTGGAAAATTCTAAACCTTTATCCCGACATTAATGTTAATATATTATATAGTTTGTGCAGTGGATATCCCTCTGTAGCAACAGGAATCTTTTCTACTTTTTATCAAATCGTGTGTTTCAACTTAGAAATTGCATTACCTCATAACACTTAAAAAATCCGTGCTCATATCAATAAATTCAAGTTAGACTATGTGATTACGTTAACAGTAAATTGTCTTAGCTGCATACAAACCGAACCCCTGTGATGGAGTACTATAATAGAGTACTTCATATATAAATGACCTTGAACTTCAAGGTCACATGGGTCAAATATGCTATGTAACTTCAAGCAACATTTTCTAAAGAACAATAAGTTCTAGCGTCGTCATAATTGGTATGATATGTGGACCACAAATGCAAATCTTTCACTACCTTAATTTGTTCAAGTCAAAGGTCGACTCTGACTGCTTGCCGGATGAAAGGTTAACATGGGTTAAAATGGGTTAGCAGATCAAAGAGTCTTCTTCTCAAGTTTCGCGATCCTTATATTTGGCCAGCAGATACCTATAATAAAGCGTTATAAAAGATCCTAGCGATGGCATTGACCAACTTTTAAGTTTATAGGAGTTAGATATGTTGAAAAATTAAAGCAACACTTTCGAAAGAACCGTAAACCAAACAGTCATGATAGAAGCTAGCTATATGTTATGTAGACAGACAGAGATTTTTTCTAAGATAGCGTTAAGGTCAAAAGTCAACTTTGTACGATGTGCAGGGTCAAATGTTAACATGGGTTATAATGGGTAAAACTAGGTTTAAAAACAAACAACACCATATTCTGACATTCCGAAAGGCCACGGGTCCTGGTATTAGGCCAGTATGTACATGAGATGGAGTGTTATGAAGTTTCCTCGTATATCTCTGGGAGCGTTCTATAGCTGACAGTTATAAGTCTTTGATACTGCCATGATATATTGCTGTTATGCAAGGATGCAGCGCAGATATGAGATATCGCAAGCGGAACCCTTGCATTTCAAAGTAGCTCTTCGCCGACCTATGGTCATACCACGGACTTAGATAGCATCCTCTTATTTAATTCCGTGATGCCTTTTATTTATTTTAAACAGTATTTCATTCAATCAGCTTACACAAGTGTAGCATGAACAGATATCAGAGGAATTCTAGACTTCCAGGTGGGATTCAAGGAGTTCATCAAATGCCCGACTCCTGATGTATTCTTGTAACGGAGTGTGTAGCTCTTTTAAAAAAAAAAAAATAATAAGCGTTGAAATGCTTTTTTTTTTTATTTCACTTGCCAGGAATAAGAGGATTTTTAACTGGTTTACAAAATGTTTATAGGTGGTTGGGCGACACTGTTGCGTGCTCGCCTTTCGCAAAGACTGCTGGGGTTCGTTATGAGGTCAGCTGACCAACAATGTGGATTTTCTCCATTTATTCTGGGTTCCTTTGGCAATACTATCGCCGGGAGATTCCATCCGAGCCAACCAAACAAGAAAAAAACACCTTGTTATTTTTTTTATGTAAAAGATGGGTTTTAGTTATAAAAAAAAGAAGTGTCATACGGATTGCCTCCCTTTGTCCACATTTATTTCAAAAGAGAGAAAAAATTAAGCGTTGCCGAGATATATGCAAATCTGCATAGGATTCTAATTACACGTACATAATCTGAAAATATTTTGTTGAAAACAGTAGGTCTTGTTGTGGTCACAAGGCTAGGTTAAGCGGACACTGTCAGCGTGATAACATAACAAGCTCCACTTTTGGCGGGCGTATAACGTGTCCACAAGCAATTTATGTAAAATCGTCCAGCACTCATATCATGTCTAAGTCTTGTTAAGAGGATAATTCTCAGTTTACTACAGTTTAGTGCAACTTACTACCAGTCATAATATTGTTTGTATTGTATGAATTAACCTTGTGATATGTATTACTACAACTGAAATCATTGCATGGTTGCTCTGGTTGTTCAAGTTAATTATTATATTGTATGTTGTGTATTTCACACCACTGTATGACTATATTGTATGACTTCGTGCAACGTAACCTACTCAATGTATGATTGTATTGTAAGACTTATGTAACAATAATACTGTCTATAATAATGCTGCATAATTTATTGTGTGATGCTTGTAATACTGTTTATTACAATGTTGTATGATTGCTTAGTACGAGAAGTGTATTACTGTCTATACTATTATATGATAATGTAGTTTGAGGAGTGTAAATATATCTATTATATCAATGTGTGATTTAATGTATGATGAGTGTTATACTGTCTATCAGCATAATCATCACCGTATAATGACTGTAATAGTACCTATTATATCATTGTGTTGTGTTTATAGTACTTTATGGTATGATGCGGGTACTATTATTATTCTCTTATGTGTGTGTCTGTCCATGTGCATGTGTGAGTCACTATGTAAGGGTGTGACCATGAGTGAATGCATTTCCTTCTCTTTCAATAGTGTTGAATTGTACGTGTATTGTTCGTTATTTCTGTAACTCTTCATTTCTGGAGGAAATAAAGGAAATAATAATAATAATGGTATCATTTTCTAAGGAATGACAATCAAACTTGTCAAACTTTCTATATTGAATCTGTGGTTAATATTCGATGCGTGCATGGCCATTCATAAGAGAGGGGACGGGGTGTTAGAATATCTATCATCAGAATAGTTACGAAGTTTTTTTCATGACACAGCGTGAAATGACATGTTAGTAATCAAATTTCTGTATAGCGGAGCTGTGTATTTACATGCAGCTTTGTTGGTTATAAGTAGGAAGGGACAGGTACGTGATATCTGTTTGTGAAAGTATAGATCTTACAAGATTTGTCATTATATACTGCTTCCATGAAGACGTTTTGCTGCAATTCGATATCAGGATTTGCATGACCACTGCAAATCTTACTTTCATATTCAAGAAATGGCAAGATAAAAGTAATTTGTTTAATTATAACGTTTTCGAATTGCTCCCAATTGCTGTCTTTCCATTACCCTAGCTGCAGCGAAGACGTACAACCCTGAAAAAAGCAAGCTTCAAATTATTTTGTGGTTTCAGAAGTTCGATATTTAGCCCACCAATATCAGAGTGTGGTCAGTCAGTCTTAAAAGAACGTAATCAGTGCTGTAGGAAGACTCATACATATTTCACCAATTGATAAACATTAGCAGCGGCTATCCCAGGTTCAGAGGGAAAGGACTGTTGGCAGGGTCCATGAAGGAGTGTCACAGGCGTCGAATTGAACAACCATGTGTTTGCAGTGTGGACAACATTGAACTAAACTGGTTCGACTCTGACCGTCCGGGAAAAGACAGACCCCGTTCTGGAAGACTGTCGAATACGGCTGATGACCAGTGCAATCGAGTTGTACCTGCAAGTGAAACCAGAGGACGCGTTGACGTCGTCTGTCCAAAACTAGATCTAAGTGACGCGATTAAAAGTGCGATGCCTTCGCACACGGATCATCATGATGCTCACTGTAACAAACAACATCATTGGGCCGGTATCCACCATCGTTGGATATTCCGCCACAGGAACAATGGTTATTTTGTTATTGATGAATATGTCACAAGGGAGGCGTTGTCTTGAGACGTCGGGGCTTTGCAAACTGCTTGTTCTTGAATAGGCCCGTTGCTGTGGCGGTGGTGTGCTGAACCACTTGAGAACTTGTGTTAGCTATATTTAGACCTAAACTAAGATGTTCGGAGTGATTTTACCGGTTTTATGGGTTTGTATCAACTTTCGGTGAAAATGCCACCCTCAATGATGATTACCGATAAAACGTGTACAATTACTCTGAACACGTTAGTTTAGTTCTATATATAGATGTAACACATTCTCAAGTCCCTGTGTGCTGGACCTTACAGATCGAGGCGAAGTTTTTACGTCATGGCGCTAGCCCATACCATATGTCGCCAAAGAACGATTTGCAGGAACTGGCCCAAGCGTTAACTGGTGAACGGGTCAACATCCTCCTCAAGTTATCACGTTTGGTAAGTTCAAGGGATGACGCTGCCACGCTGTTTTCTGCGCAAATGGTGGTCATACACGGTACTAAACATGTGATTTTCGAAACTCGAATTACCATTTATTCATAAAATTAACTCACTACGTTTTTTTTCGCGATTTATGACAAATTCATAAAAATAACTTTTATGAATAAATTGAATACAATTGCAGCAAAATTTTTATTTTTTCTTAATTCAGGCCAGATGAACAAAATGTTTCCTGTAGTGTATTGAAAACTTTAGGGTAGATAACAGATTTTATTTCAACAAATACTTTTATATGGTTTATATAGGCGAACAGTGCTTCTTTTAAATTTGTAGTGTAGGGTAGGCACAAAATATAAGGGGAATGTACGGTTACCGGAAACATGAAGTTATTTTTGTTTGGCCTTAGAATAATGTTTACCTTTCCTCGTTACTGAATAGAACGTCAGTCAATCAGAATTTAAGTCCCTCAAACCTCCTTCAATATATACACGGAAACTGCTAATCATCCGATTTGATTGGTAGCATTACACGACAACACTGCAAATTTGGTAGAATTTTATCAATTTTAATTTGGACAATATGTGTCATGAATCCATGCACGACAGACAAACTAATTACAAATCGAAATATGTATCTCGGCTTCCCCTATGTAATCAACTGGTCGTTCAGTCTTCCAAAAGACTTCAAATACACTCCTCAGTGACTCTATGCGACTTCCTGTAATCGCTGCATTTTCGCGAGAAATCAAATATCGATTTACTTTTTATCGATCTGTCGTCGAGTTACGAGTTAATCGACGACAGACTGATATAATAAAAAAAAAACAGTCGATAAAACGTCAGAATAATTTCGGACTACTACCAGTATTGAAATAGCACCCTCTCAATCACGAATACCTTGTACAGTTGAAATCAAAAGAAAATTCACACGAAGATATTAAAATAATTTACAGTACCTGGGCCCATTCTGCGTATCCGGTTGTTCGGGTGTGTGCAGGCCTTACAAGGCTTTGTCAAGGCTCGTCTGAAAGCAGCATCAGATTACTATGTCCAGCCTTATATCATGAACAAACAACCTTGGTCCAACCGTTTGGATCGCGATAAACGAATGCAGTCCTGGTAATATATGTGTAAGGTAATAAGAGACTGAAAACGGCAAGATAAGTCAATACAAATAATTTAATAGTAACATGTATAACAAACAAAATGATTTTAAACAGATACAGAGACGAATCATGTAACTAGGAGTAAAATTATAGTTCACTCCATGTATACTGTGTCAGAATCAGAATCGGTTGAAATAGAAAATACTGTATACTGAAAAGAAATACAAAATAATCGAAGTGACATATTTTCTTATCCAAGATACCTTTATCTTCATACTGAAAGAATATTCGATGTCCAAAATCATTTCAGTGTTACCATCGACAAAGACTTCGTATTGCAAGTGACAACCAAATACTCTCAAGAAATGCTTTTTATTTCTTGTGAGGTCAGCATCATTTTATTGGTGTCACCCAACTTGATTTTAACTAGTATCATACAAGTAACATGATGTAACATGATAAGTGGTAGTGCCTTGTCAGGTATCCCAACAAAAAATGTTTAGTTGTAGGAATACTTTTTTTGACAAAAGCCATTGCCTTAAAACTAATAAGAGGCCCAGAGGACCTGTATTCATGTTTGTTGAAGCAATCAGACATGGCAAAATACTCTTAATCCCGTTTCACATTACAATCACCAAACTATCAAATAAAAGGTGTATTGCCAATACTTTTTCCATTTTGAGACCAACCTCCAAAAACCAAAAGGAACAAAACCCCTTATTTTATGTAACATTTGACACATCAACCCCTTCCTTTCCATGTTATTATCCCAAGAATAAGTCTAAAGGCTAACCCTGGTAAGATGAATGCATTTTCTCTTCAGTCCCACTATGTATGTATAGGGCAATACAGTGAGGAGATTTAAGAAGCACAACTGTATGACCGATTGTTTTAATGGGGCCCCACCTCTCCAGCCCTGGGTGTCACACTATGTATGTATAGGGCAATACAGTGAGGAGATTTAAGAAGCACAACTGTATGACTGATTTGGGAGAGGGGGGCACTCTGTTTATATAAGGCAGAGTTCTTTTGAAGCAAGGATGCTTTAGATTAAATTTTGCTAAAAACTCTTAACAGGTACTGAAGGAGTAGGATTTTAAAGATTTACCTCCATCATTTAAGTGAATTGCCATTTTATGCCAGAGAGGGCACACCCTCCTTTTACACAAGACTGAGTCCCTTATGTTCATATCAGATCTCAATTAGTTTTCCTATGTAATGCAATTTTAGAGGCTGTTTTTTCGTGTATGCCTTGGTCGCAAGTGGTTGTACATTGCTTGAAAGTGAAACAAAAGTCCCTGACATGATGCCATGACACCCTCCTGTTCATGTTATTACTTAGACAAGTGGCCAATTGGTATTTGGTATGGATCAGATTCCTCTCATTGTTATTCAACAGTACTTTGATTGGTGTTTTCTTCTATTTCATAAGTTCATAGAATTGTAGACTATCATGTCCATTTAATGACTGCATGGTGGGTGATCAAAGACCCCTGTGACAATTATATGGTGGGTGATCTCAGGCCCCTGTGACAACTGCATGTTGGCCGATCTCAAGACTTCTGTGACAATTATATTGTGGATGATCTCAGGCCCCTGTGACAGCTGCATGGTGGCCGATCTCAAGACTTCTGTGACAATTATTATTGTTGGTGATCTCAGGCCCCTGTGACAGCTGCACGGTGGCCGATCTCAGAACTTCTGTGACAATTATATTTTGGGTGATCTCAGGGCCCTGTGACAACTGCATGTTGGCCGATCTCAAGACTTCTTTGACACAGCTACATAGTCACTGATTTGAGGCCCCTGTGGTATCTGATCACAGTGACAACTACATTGTTGGTGACTTCCAATATCTGTGACACAGCTACTTGGTAACTGATCTTAGGCCATTACCATTTTTGACACAGTTACTTGGTAAGTCATCTCAATTCCTTGTGAGAGCTACATTGTTGGTGATCCTTGGTCCCTGTGACACAATATACAGTCGTTAACTTATACATGTGTCAAAACTATATGGTCCATGAGCTAAGGCCTCTGACAGATGTGTTCATAAAGTGGTCGCCGAAATGATAACAGATCTTAGGCCCCTGTGGCCTCACTAAACCATGTAAGTCATCTTTGGGCTCTTCTGATACAACTGTATAGTCAGTGACCCACAGTTCCTGTAATAATTTCATGATTGTTGACATCTTGACCTCTGTGATCTTTAGACCTCAGCTGACCAACATCATTTGGTCTGTGACCTCCAAAGACCAGCTTTTGTCCATCTCTATCATATGACTAAGGTTCTGGACTTTGATGGCGCGCAGCTGGGGTATGGACCCGGCACTTGACAGCTGCCCAATCACCATCACATATTGACCTGTGTAAATGATCAACGATAAATGTTAAATGTGCATACAGGTTATGCAACACATATTGACAGACTCAGTAAATAGACATAAGTTGATTTAATATTGGTAGTCTGAAGGACAGATACTATATTGCAATCTGAATCATATAAATTTAGTGAATAGATAAATAACTTCCTGTAATCTTTCCATTATTGATTTTCATAGGATTAGTTTGCATAACCTGGTATTTGATTTTATGATGAATCAACTTTGATTTTCATATTTCATGTAGTTCCAATTAACACTTTCAGGGGATTGAAGTTCTAATCAAGTCAATGGAAAGTAAAAAAAAATCAAAAGAAATAACCTCAATTATGAAGAATAGAAAGGTATCCATGCTGACCTTTACTTACAATTATTTGACAAACAAGCATAATGGAAAGACGCAATAGTTTCTGATACGGAAACTTTGGTGGTTAATGACTTTGCTTTCTTAGCTGTATTAACAGTATTTGGAGTTGTACATATATATTTAGTGGCTGTGCAATGAAAACGTAAATATTGTAGCTTTAGACATCACCAATGATACGTCCAACATCACCACTCATCATACATCAGTCCAACAATGTTCATATATGAAATGTAAATTCTTTAACGCTGTACAGGTTTTGATCTTAGCCACCAAAATTTAAAGTTTAATTTTTGTATGAAACGAGAAAAAAAGATATAATACAACATCTATTTAAACAGACCAATCTTAATCTTCTCCCCAAGGAATGGTATCTTGCTGCAACCTAGGATCTTGGCTGCCCCAGTGCCATCATCTATCAGGACAACATCACTACCGTCATCAACCTGGAACAAAAACATGTAATTCAGTCAGTACTGTCATCAGCCTGGGAACTAAATCACTGAGTCAGTACTGTCATCAGCCTAGGAACTAAATCACTGAGTCGGTACTGTCATCAGCCTAGGAACTAAATCACTGAGTCACTACTGTCATCAGCCTGGGAACTACCGTGGTAAATCACTGAGTCACTACTGTCATCAGCCTGGGAACTAAATCACTGAGTCAGTACTGTCATCAGCCTGGGAACTAAATCACTGAGTCGGTACTGTCATCAGCCTGGAAACCAAATCACTGAGTCAGTACTGTCATCAGCCTAGGAACTCAATCACTGAGTCGGTACTGTCATCAGCCTGGGAACTAAATCACTGAGTCGATACTGTCAGCCTGAGAACTAAATCACTGAGTCGGTACTGTCATCAGCCTGGGAACTAAATCACTGAGTCGATACTGTCATCAGCCTGGGAACTAAATCACTGACTCGGAACTGTCATCAGCCTGGGAACTAAATCACTGAGTCACTACTGTCATCAGCCTGGGAACTAAATCACTGAGTCAGTACTGTCATCAGCCTGGGAACTAAATCACTGAGTCGATACTGTCATCAGCCTGGGAACTAAATCACTGACTCGGTACTGTCATCAGCCTGGGAACTAAATCACTGAGTCACTACTGTCATCAGCCTGGGAACTAAATCACTGAGTCGGTACTGTCATCAGTCTGGGAACTAAGTCTGGGAACTAAATCACCGAGTCAGTACTGTCATCAGTCGGAGAACTAAATCACGGAGCCAGAACTGTCATCAGCCTGGGAACTAAATCAATGAGTCAGAACTGTCATTTATCCTTAACATAAAATACATACATGTACTAGTATTTCAGTCAGTACTGTCATCGTCTGTTTCTTAGTTTCTTACCACTCTTGAAAGTCTTCCCTAACCCTACCGATCTGATTGTCCTCCTTTACTTGTAGCACTCTGAGTGTCCCCCTTAACCCTACCATTCTGATGGTCTCCCCCTAACCCTTCCACTCTAATTGTCTCCCCAAACCTTACCTCTCCAATTGTCCCCTTAACCCTCCCACTCTTGATCATCTCCCCATTTGGCTTTACCCTACCTCTCCAATTATCCCCGTAACCCTCCCACTCTTGATTAACTTCCCTAACTGTTCCTCTCCAATTGTCCCCCTTAACCCTCCCACTCCGATTGTCTCCCCATAACCCTACCTCTCCAAATGTCCCCCTAACCCTCCAACTCTTGATTGCTCCCCTAATCCTGCCTCTCCAATTGTCACCCTAACCCTCCCACTTCGATTGTCCCCCTTAACCTTCCCATTCTGATTGTTTCCCCTCACATATAATTACCCTACCTCTCCAATTGTCCCCAAACCCTGAACCCTCCCACTCGGATTGTCCCCCCTTTACCTTCCCATTCTGATTGTTTCCCCTTACCCTACCTCTCCAATTGTTCCCCTTAATCCTCCTATACTTATTGTCTCCCCTAACCTTACCTTTCCAATTGTCCTCTTAACCCTCCCACTCTTGATTATTTCCCCTAACCCTACCTCTCGTCTCTCCTAACCCTACCTCTTGATTGCCCCCCCCCCCCCCCCCCCCCCCTCCCCCCCCCCCCCCCCCCTTAACTTTCCTCTTGTCTCTGCAGATGTTCATTTGTAGGGCTGTCACAATATATTATTGCAATACAGAAATGAAATATCACTTTACCCCAATATTATTCAGAAGCATGTTTTGATGTATCTGCTGAGTGTTTTTAACTTTTCAAATTACTACACATTCTAACAAATATGCTTATAACTATAAACAGGCTATTACTAATGGTGGTAATGATGATTGGTTTAATGAAAAACTTATATATGTCTCTGCTTAGACGTGTATCTGATCCATAGATCCTTTTCTAAATTGAGCACTTTTTCCTATAGATATGGACTCGACCAATACATGTCACAATTCATTCCTTCTGTATTGCAATATATCATGAGACACTCCTGGCATATTGAGACACCTGTAGTCCCTTGTCTTTGTAGCGAAACTGGACTGGGTTGATCGTCGGTGACCAGGTAGCTCAATTGGTAGAGTGTCTGTCTAGAGTTCAGAGGGTCCCGAGTTCAAGCCTGCTGGGTTGTAAGTAGTTTTGTCTTTGGGGCGAAAAGAAGGGATGAATATAGCAGAACTGGACAAGGTCAATTGTCAGCGACCTGGCAGCTCAATTGGTAGTGTCTGTCATCAGAGTTCAGAGGGTCTCTGGTTCAAATCCCAGTCTGGCCGTTGCATTGCTCTTTCTCCTGCAGTTACATGTTTCATTTATAATTGTCCTCTTACCTCTGTGACAGTTCCTTGTATCCAGACCACAGACAGTTGAAATTGTCGTCCATGGCAGTACATTTGCAATGTTTTCATCTTTTTCACTTGATCTGACCCCTCAGATGGAGTTGGGACTCGCTGGCAGGTCCTCAGGTCATTAATAAACACCTTCCTTGATGGTAAATCAAGGAGCTTTGACATTGTCAAATTTTATAGCTGCAATACAGAGAATTCAAAATGTCTTACTTGGTTATAGACAAATTAATTTCTTATTTCACATAATTTTGGCCCAAAAAATTACTTGTTTCTGCTATTTAGATTTCCTGTCTCAAGTTTGAATCTGGCAAGCACCATGCAGTTGAATCTTCAAACACATTCCAAATTTGGATAAATATTTTCATGAAGTTGTCATCAGATATCATCAGCAAATGGGGGAATTATATAATAAACTTTTTCCAACCAATGTCAACTCCATAGTGTTGGTCATGTCATTAGTACCTCCCTGAACAGTCTCAGATAAATATTTGTAGCAACTTTTAAGATTTTACGGATTAAACAAGCTGTCATATAGTTTATTAATGTTTTATGCGTAGGCCTTTATATTATGCAAGCAATTTTGTTAAAGCAATCCAAACTCGTGTGATTGAGAACACTTGTCTGTAAATTATTATCTGTAGAAGGCACAGGGACCTGATGATTTGTTCCAGCTAGGTATATTTGGGCCTAAATTGAAGTTTTCAAAGTTATATCACAGGTTTTAGGAGTTTGATAAACTTTTGGTAAAAAATGCCACATGCAAGGATGGTTTAAACGAGAAGAGAGCTTTCCTACGTTCACGTAGTCCTACGTCCGTGTTTCAACAAATTCTGAGGTCCCTGTGCTGTGGTTGAAGGTGGTCATTATCTATCAGAACTAGAACATTTATATCATATCCTCGAAAAAACAAAATAGAGGTCGATTTTCGTATTAAATGTTAACATTTCGAAGAGTTATCATACGTCACTCTAATATAATAGCCACGATAAGGCCTGCCTCCTAATCCCGTGGAAAAGTTTGTGTTTCCCGCAAAAGCATTTTTAACTTCCGGTTAGTACGATAGTAGGACATACTGCAGACCGGATCGGATTGGACAGGATTACACATGTCAATTTCGTGTCGACGATATCTTAGCCTAAACTCAACACAATCATTTAGGGTAATGAAGTTGATAAATATACACAAAAACGTCAAAGTTGTCCAGAGACGTATATACGTCTCTGAGTTGCCCGAACAAGATTTTTTTTTGTATTATGCAATTTATCCTCTTGATATTTAATTTAATTTGAATAATTCTTCACATATGAATATTGCACCCAAACATCTAACATTTTTTTATGTAAAACGTTCGTACTACCCCACCCCAATTATGAAAATAATGAAAAGGGGTATGCTGGAAATGGACTCTACAGTAATTTTGCAGTCGAGATTATAAGATTGAAACTTAAATACATCTTCCACAATTTACCATCCACAGTCGAGATAAAACATAATTATTAATGATAATAAATCCCACACTCAAACTGAATCTTTAGATATGATATCATTTCATTATATTATATAAAACTATTATATGATATACAAAGTGTATCCGACATAGCTAATACATATCCCCCTTTAAAAACTTTAACAATGTCTTTTCTTCATGTTTTAACACAATTGACTTAAAACTAGAAGAGTTGTTTCCCCTTTGCCACAAGTGTGAGAACAAAAAGAGAAACCGAAGCGTTAAATAAACAACTCAAAATCAATAAAACTAAACCAAATATGAACGAAAGAATTATTTACATGGAGACACTTGAAAAATACAAGGTTAGTAAACCCAGGTGTCCCGGAAGGGTAAGCGCGTTCTGCTTCATCGACCAAGTAATGTAACGTACTCACATCGAGAACTATGGCAGTGACAACAAGACCATATGACACACCACGGAATTAGATTATCTAAGTCTAAGTTATCTAAGTCTGTGGACACACTAAGGATCGTGATAAAAAAAACCACCGACCTTCACATCACACAAAATCAAGCGTATTTTTCCCTATAAAATCATAATTGCGACCATAAAAAATGGCTTTAAGTCTCTTAATTGTTTCTCTCCAAATTGTTACAAAATAAGAGTTCATTATTAATAAATAAACAGAACAAGAAATTAGGCTTGAGCACAAAATCCATGCTTGAGCATGAGAACGCTTTCATGAATACGGGCCCCGGTGTAGTCTTCTACGGAATCAACCAGTATCTTGAAAATCGCATTCCAGTTGATAGTAAGAGTTTCTCGATCTAACGATCCAACATGTAAAGTTTACGTATCTTTGCATTATGGATAATATTTAGATCACCAGTTACTACATGTCAAACTTGACGAAAGATGTATGGAAAGATGTGGAGCAAGAGGATGAGTTTTTCCAGGGTGATCGAAATTCAGCTGTTGTAGCGTATGCTTGTAGTTTGGATGCAAAGAGTTAAGAATAATTGTAAGAACTGGTTGGTGTACTTTTTGTATCTGAAGTATGGTATGTTAGCTTCGACGGACTTTATATGTAGGGTGATACTGATGTAAATGGCATCTATCCCTTTCATGAAATCCCGCGTTATATATCGGAGATTCATGACTTTACAAAACATTATGACTTCTCTAATCTTACTATCAAAACTATTTATTTCCTACAGCAAACAATGACGTTCGGAAAAAATACAATTATCATAGAAATCTATTACAAAATCTACCATTGTAGTGGAATTCTAGAAAAAAGTATCGAAGCATATTATTAATTTTGTAAATAAAGGATCACAATGTTGACCCAATGCAACATAATGATAACTGTATTTTCAATCTCAAGATAGCTACCATATCTCGTTCGCGTCTTCACTCAATCAGTATTTTCTAGAAACTGTTATTTTGAATGACAGAAACAAACTTTTAACACTGCATGACATGAGCCCTGGATGAAATACCTTAAGACAATAGCTTTTGTTTCTTTGTGATCGTGGTGCAATTAGGAAATCCTGTACGATTACTGACAAGACAACTTCTAGAATCCTCCGAGATGCCCAAACATTTCAGTATTAATTATTTTGTTACAGTTTCTGAGAATTTTGTCTCGTTTTACACCAGTAAGCTGGTGTACTTTTGCCTTTTGAGAGACGAAAACGAGTGTCTTTAAAAACTACGAAATATATGACTTGATGTCGAGGGTAAACAATTTCTTTTGAGAATTTTATAAGATTTAGGTATTATCCTGTGACGTACATGTTTCCATTTCACGAATTTCATCTGACCTCTCACTTTGCTACAAAACCGTCTGTCGTCGCCCGAGTCTGCCGGTGATAGGTAATCTGAGTTTATATTGATATGAGATGACAAACAAGGTTAGTGAACTAGAAACTAAGATAATAGCTTTCCACAACCTCTTGTCATTCTGTATTAACCGAGTCTGAACTGTTTGGACTAAATTTCGAATAACAGTATTTATAACAGTTAAAACAGAGCATTACAGGTTTAAAAGGTTGACATTTACATTCTCCTACACAACCAATGATAACACACCCACATATTTGCATTATTTTTCCTTATTAATGACGACGTACACTTACTTATTCTAGTAACTAATTATAACACATTCACACAGTTACTTGCTCCTGTATAAAAAATCCATATGATTTCTTATGCAATTATATATATTTTTAACATTTGACTCACATCACATCTTTATGTACAAATATGATAAAAGTTATTGAAACCTCATATTTTAAACTTCCATAAACCCGACCGTCTGATTTACATCTATACAAAGCCCACTCCAACTCACAGATACACACACTCCACAACACATCAGAGCAGACAGCTACATACATATACAAGCATGCTTGCATGTGCACAGCATATTTACATGAACCTACCTAAACACAGATACATGCATTGTTATCATGCGGTTACAAACCATAAGAAATGTTAGTTCATAGATATATATGACTCATGATCTTATATCCCATGCCAAGTCACTCCAATGCACATAAACGTATTAAAATATACAATAGTTTCGCATTTTCGTTGATTTTTTTTTCTATATATATTGTGCAATATTCTGTGATGATACAAGGACTTCTTAACGACATTTTCAGAATGTGGAATAAGGTTAAGTTATTGGATATTTAAACATTTATAGTTCTGATGGACATAAAACGTCATTCTCGCCATTGTGTAGTTGTCTATCAGTAAATTAAGGGCCGAGTTCCTAGAGGAAGTAGTTAAGGTCCATTACCATTCCTGAATTTTATCATTGATCTTGCTGATAATTTGCATTGTATTTAATTATTATTTGTAAGTGTCACGCCATGTTGCGTGCAGCTAACTCATTTTACAGGTGCTCGTAAACAAACATAAACTCGGATTTTGTCAAATTACTGAAATATTTGATCGAAGCAATGACTCGCTACGTTTTAACCTTTAATCCACAACAAACACCAGTAAAAATATACCAGATTTTAGAGTTGAAATTTAACGTTATCCGAAAATCATAGTAATTTCAGATCATATAACAGGGCAGATGCTTAATGGACATCAATATATTAATTCTTAGCATGAAACAAATTCATTTTATAATTGTTCTCTGGGTAAACCATTTTGTTGTAAAGTCAATACAATTAATCATATTGCAGTATGGCTTCAGCTTGATATATTTCATTATTTTGTTTTCGAATAAATGAATGATATTTGGTTACGCTTGATTCATTAGAGGCAAACTGTAACCAGTAATGTTTCAAGTTTTGTGCATCTATGCACCAAATGACGCTGATTTTCTGGTCCTTATTTACGGAAAAATGCATTTGCTGATTGGTAATCTTCTTTTCATCTATGTAGATTCTGTCGATCATGTGTAAACATCTCCAATGACACTCATTACATTGTCAGCTTGAGAGTCCAGGTCCGGTTCCCTGATCGTTGGTTAGAATTAACCAGTGGCTAGGAAAATAAATCAAATAAAAAACAAATTTTATATTTTTTTTCACTTACCACTGGTTAAAGTTAACCAATTTTAGCAATCGGGGCCAAACTGTTTTCCAAATAAAGGGTCCATTACTACAGATTATATTTCGAAATTAATCGATCTAGGTTTATAATATTTTTTTCCAATTTCTTTGATATTTTTGTTTTCTAATTAATTTGAACTGAATGATTCCATCATTGTTTCGCATTTCTATTAAGGTTTTCTAGCACATAAAAACAATGTGATGCATTTATTTTCCATTTATATGATTATCCATTCGTCTGGTACAGCCTTCCTTACCAATTCATATAAAATGCTATTTTCTGTGAAACACAATATCTGTTTCCCTATTACATATCAACTTGCTGATTTTGTCCAGATTTACAGAGTATGGAATTCGTAAATATGACTTTTCATTTGTAAACAGATTACTAGCGAGTATGATGGAGTACTAGTACACTTTATTACTTTTTTTATTGTGCCTTCTTTTGACAACTTTATATATATATATATATATATTATAAAATGCTGGCATATCATTTAAGTTGAACGATAAATGGCTACTGCATTTACCAAGTAAGACGTTTTTGTTGAGCAATAGTATTGATACCACTACTTACATAATGTATACCAAGGCTGTAATTCTGCAAATAAATGTGTAGAATTTTATCTAAATTTAATCTTTCCAATAAAATATAGGTCAATGAATAGAAAAGATAACGACTGAATTATGCCAACAAATACTTGAAAACTGTTTATATGATCCCGAACTTACATTGATTCCCAATGAGATCCTTAGAGTTTCAGAGTTTTAGAAATCTAAGAGGTTTTATTAATCAAAATCGCCTGACAGATGTAAAACATAATTAGTTAAATAGTTAACTATGCACATTGCTAATTTGTCATTTCTTTTTGTGCGGATCTGAATTACAGGGATTCCATTGATGATGTTGTCACTTGCCAGAACAGAGTCACGCGCCAACAGCTGTCATGATCATACACCGACTTCGTACTATAAAATCGAAATCCATGTTGCTCTTTCGGTACGTTCTAATTAACCGTACT